TATCGAAACCTTCGAAAGTCAAGAAATGGGAAAACGTAAACATCGATTAATAGTAAAATCGAAAAATTGAAAAATCGAAAATTTGAAAAAACGATAATTGAAAAACAGAAAATCTAAAACAAGTCGAAAAATCGATAGATTAAGAAATAAAAACATTTGAAAAATTGGAAAACATGAAAAACGGAAATATCGAAGAACTGAAATGAAAAATCGAGAAATCGAAAAATCGAAAATTTTAAATATTGAAAAATTAAAATATGAAAAAACTGAAAAATCTAAAATTTAAAAATCGAAGAATTGAAAAAACGACAATTAAAAAACAGAAAATCTAAAACCGGGAAGTCGAAAAATCGAAAGATTAAGAAATCGAAACATTTGAAAAATTGAAATATGGAAGAGCTGAAATGAAAAATCGAGAAATCGAAAAATCTAAAATTTTAAATATTGAAAAATTAAAATACCAAAAAATCGAGAAATCTAAAATTTAAAAATAGAAAAAGTAAAAAGTCGACACATCGAAAAATCCAGAAGTCAAAAATAGAAAAGTCGAAGAACAGAAATATTGAAAAATCCCAAAACTGCAATATCGAAAAACTAAAAAATGAAAGAAAAACTGACGAATCGAAAAACTGAAAAATCCCAAAATTGAAATATCCAAAAACTGAGAATTTAAAGAATCGAAAAATTGAGAAATCGAAAATTCAAAAAAGTGAAGTCGAAATATCGAAACCTTAAAAAAAGCGCAAAATTGAAAAATCAAAAAAATGCAAAATCGTAAGATTGAAAAATTGAATAATAAGTAAACTGAAAAATCCAAGAATTGAAATGTCCAAAAATTAAGAAATTAAAAAATGGAAAAATTGGGAAATCGAAAAATCAAAAAAGTGAAGTTGAAAAATCGAAACCTGAAAAAAATAGAAAAATTGAAAAGCCTAAAAACCTGAAAAATCAATTAATTGAAAAATCGACAAATAAAGGATGTATAAAAGTAAAAAATTGAAAAATCGAAATATTTAAAAATCCTAAAATTGAAGAGAAAAACTGAAAACCTAGAAATTGAAAAATTGAGAAATTGTAAAATCCAAAAATTGAATAATAAATAGGAGTAAACTGAAAAGTCCCCAAACTAAAATTTCGAAAAACTGAGAATTCGAAAGTTGGAACAGCAAGAAATTATGGTCTAAAACTGTTAAAAATGAACTTTTAGATGCCGTGAACGTAAAATTTTAGCAAAAGGCAAAAAGGTATGCGGAGAAATCCTTTTTTACTTTTATTGAATGTATTTTTGTATTTATTTCCGTCACACAATTTCGTCTATTAATTGGTAATAACAACCTGTTTATGTCTTCATATTTAATTGATAAGTTAAATTGTGTCCCCCCATTTCAAAAGGTCACTGCCTTAGCCAACTTAAAACGGTGTCCTTGGGTTTGCTAATCTGTGTTCAAAGTAAACAAGTTATAAACAAGGGGTGACAAGGGCCTATGTGTTTAGAAAACTGTAATTAAGTCACCACTTTTTCGTCTTTCAGATAAAGTTATGAAATTGATTAGCGCAAGCCCGCACTGTAGCTTAATGTATTCTAGTAGCTTTACGCTGTACAGACTCTAGAAGTACGAGTTCAGGTGGAGTTAGCAAACTCTAAAATAGGCCTCACATAAGTTTGTACAGCTTTAAGAACATCGTAGGATTAGTTTTACAACAAACCTTACTCAGAAAAAATGACACAGAATTGACAGCAAGAAACTAGTTAATATTCCGAGCCCTCGACAACATCAGATTTAGTCAATTCTACCATTACCAATGTAAAGAAAACTACATTTGTCAACGTTCAATGGGCACACCCAGTTACTAGATCATTTGCCATTTGATTACATTACGTAGATCAATTGTGTATGCTACAAAAAACAAAATACCCAAGACGGAACCTTGCGGGAACTAATCAAAGTCAAAGCTTACCTGATATTCCTAGATGTTGGATTTTAATCAAGAAACGACGTTTAGGAACGCGATCGAAAACCTTAGAGAAATCAGAAATCCAAATATAGCTGTTCTCTTAATCGAAACAGTTCGCTTTCGCGGTATGAAAAAAAATTGTAGTTTAACCTTTAAAGTGGTATGATCCGAAATACCGATCGGATTAAGATAATCCAAACTGGAGAGGGAAGTTTGGATAATTATTTAGAAATCACTTGTCAACTTAAGCACATACAAATTCGTTCTTTCGAGATTCTCGACAATTTTCGGTTTTACTATATTTCCAATACCAAATTCTCGGTAGCGTTAAGAACTACGCTTATTTCCTGGAAGGAAACATAGGAGTATGAACCTCTACCCTTCAAATTTACGAAATACATGATCAAATAATCGTAAACACGAAACATAAGTTGAGATGAAGACTACGATACAATACAGTCATTCGCCTCCTACAGAGAATTTAAAGAAACTTGTCATCACAGAACTTCAATATCTTGTCATCTGTGGACAAAAACCAAAACGATAACAACGATAACAAAAACTCGAGAAAAATTACCATTGGTAATCGAAATCGAATCAAAGTAAGTCGTCACAGGGGTGAAAATATAGCACTTACAAATTGTCAACAGGGGCACAATAGACTGCCAGCGTAATGTCGCTAACTTCCCAACTTAAAAAGGTCAGATCTCACCAAAAATCGAGCAAAAACTGCGGAGCAGCAAGAAACACAAGTGTCACCTAAACTTCCACCACTCAATAAAAAAAAATTGGTCGAATGTTGTTTCGACAGAACTTCCCTCGCTCGTGAAGTACTATGAAACATCCAGCATTTTCGCAAAATTATAAAATTTGATTTGGGGGATTTTATTTTTTTTATGAGAACCCTTATAAGTTGGAATAATTATGTAAGTATATTGTATACAATGTAAATGGAAAGACGCGTGCAACGCGTATGTTTCAAATGAGTTTTTACTTTACAAAATTTTGTGATGACGTCATCAACATTTTTGCAAAGATACATATATCACTTTGGATACGTGCAGTGTAAAAAAAATACAAGGAAAAATAAAAATATATTTAAAGATGACTTAAAAACAAATGGACAGCCTTGTGTGACGTTTGAATATTTGATGATAATACAGACGAAGTATATATAACTGAAATAGGGAATGAAGTAAAATCTGCTAGATTTTGGTTGTCAATAAAATAACAATACTACAACAGCAATGTAATTATCGTGTTTTTAAATCATAATATTAATAAAATTAATAAATTATGTCATATTGTTCGTAAGTTTCTCGAAGAGTCTGATTATGTCAGTCGCAATAGGTTAGCATTAGTAGGTCAGAGTAGTGTAGGTCACTTTGATGATGTGATGCGCGGATAAATGATCGGTAGTTACGTTAGTCGTGGGGATGGGGTGAGATTAGAGAATAATAGTAGACGAATTTATATGCTGTAATTATAGGATGATCTCGAAAGTTATTTTATTAATCAAATCAACGCATATCAATACTTAGTTTTAATACACGTAATGATAGACATCTTGCCTGAATGCCGGTCATTTCCAGATCAGTGGTGGGTCTAATAATAATAATACTCATTAATGACGTGGGTTTTGGGTAAGACAGAACGTTGGTTTTTGGTAGTTCTGCCAATTCTTGCTATTTTAGAACTTCTTCTATACTTGTAATTGAACAAAGTCCAAAATTCAACCAAGTATATCCATTTTCACAACAAATAGGAGTATTTAATATCTTCAAATCTCTGACTGAAGTCAGAATGGAGAGCATCCAAGTGCTGACAACAGGTAATTAAGTACGTTTTTCATCTGGATGAATTTTCCTCGTCTTAAATTTCGTTTGTATAGAAGAAGTTTTGGCACACAAGGAGATTTATTTCACTAAATTTCTTAAATATGTCCATCAGATAGATAAGCGGCAATTTTTTTAATAAATCTAAGTAGCTCGCTTACATTTTCTAAGAACTACAGCAATGAATCTAACGGTGTATAAAACTGAGCAAAACACACACTTTTTGACAATCAAAGCAGCGATTAAATTCTTTGTCACTTCATAATAAAGATCTCTGAACAATCTACAATTTAATAAATCTCTTTTGATTCTGTTGACCACTTGTTGAGTGATTTATTCAAGCGTTCACTAAGATCTTCACCAACTAAAAGTTTTTCATATATTTGTATATTTTTTGAATGCTTTTACCGCCCCTTTATGAAATAACATTGGTCTTTGTAAATCATCTTAGACACCCAGATTTTGTAAAAAACTTAAAATTGTATGACATTTTATAATTTAACTTTGAAACTGCAAAACCGAATAACGGTTATCATAAATATGGAAGTTCTATTTAAATAATATCTTTAGAGCAATTTTTTCTATTCTTTTAATAATTCTTCAGTACCAGTCAAGAGTAGCAGTGGAGGTCGTCCATTCTCGTTTTCTCCTAACTCCATCTGTACAACACTAGCTCGTCGGAAACAAACAGAGTTCTTCAAAACAATAGAAACATTTTCGAGGAAGTTCGCTTTAAAGATATTTTTACATTTTGGCACCTCCTTTACCTCCAAACTTCAGTAGTTTTTGTATTTATATCTAGAATATTTTTAACTCCACTATTCCGTTAAACTCTAACTAGTCAATCGTACTTCTTGTACCCATGTGCATCGTTATTGATTTCACTCGGACAGAACTCTCAGTGCCAATGGCGTCATCGTTAGCCGTGTATTTCACTCAAACTTTTTTCTTCAACCGTTAGACCCTCATCAAATTGGAACAAATTTTCGGCGCCGACCCAACCCAGCCGTCTCGTTCAAAATAGCCACAGAAGCTAAAAAAAATAATGTCGGCCAATTGTTGCACTAAAAATGCATCTAATCTTCATCCACCTGCCGTCATTAAACGTTAATTTTCGCAGCGCAACGACCATGCGTGTGGCGGCCCTGTGCGCACGCAGCCCCATTCGAATCCTGAATTTCTGTGAAATTTAAATAATCTAAAACACGAAAACCCCCCAAGCACCAACCGTGAATCTAAAAACATTAAATGCAAAGCCTCGAACGCGCGTTTTCGTTTATATTTGGCTCCTGCGGCCGGAAAAGCCCAATAATGAAACTCCTGCGTTAAAAAGAGACAGACATTAAATAGATCAATATAAGAGAAGCTCTGGCAGGAATTTACTGCAGAACTGAACGCAACAGTAAAATTTTATAATAAAATGCCTGCGAAACGGAGGAGAGGTCAAGCCAACGAGTTTATCAAAGTAATAATATGATAGTGATTGAGTTAGTGAGTGACTGATATTTGGACAGAACATGAATTTGGTGATGGTTAAACTTAACTACGTCTTGCCAATTATAGGTAATGGTTTTGCTTTCTTTGTATATCGATTGTGCGATGGGAGTGTTAGTTTACGAACGGATCAGCGATTGATGGAGTGAAAAGAGTGGTTATTGTCTTTCATTCTGTTTGTTATTGCAGTCTGTTTGTTAAATTTCGGATACACCCAGTGGTCCTGTGCCCGTGAGTAGTCGTAGACTGAGGAAAATTAATTAATGTCTAACAGAAACTAAACAGTTTCGGAAAAACGCTTTTTGCTTTCGATCGTGGTGATAAATTTACAAAAGTATAAATCAAATCGTGTCTTAAGGTCACCACTTGCGCAACTTTTCTGTCAACACAAATATCGGATATGTTCTCCGCAGGATATTAATATTTTCTAAACGATCCATTTGTAACAAAAATTACTGTAACAATGTCATATTATTCGCCAGATGTTTGCGTGCCGGCATAATTAATGCTCGTGTTTCTATTTATTTGTTTGTTGGAAAGGAAGTTCATTTTGTTGTATTTATACGCGGATTTTATGTGCCAATTTTATTAACTTTTTATGATTAATAAGTGGGATGGGCTTTGAAGATGACTTGTAAATTTTTTAAAAATAAATTTTTAATTTATGATGTATCACACTTCTGAAATTAGTTTACCGCGAAATTATAAACAGATTCCTACAAGTTTTATGATAAAAGCAGAGATGGGATTCATTTTGGAGTGGCAAAGTTGGATAGACTGTAGGAGACTTGAGTTAATTGGTTTTACCGAGTGAGAGATGTAGAGCCTCTTTCGCCTACGCCACTGATTTACATGGAGGTTTTGTTTAAGAGGGGTTGCATTCAAATTATGCCTCTATATTCTGAATTTTTTTGAAAAACGAACAAAAACAATTAAAAATACGCCAACGCATCTTATAATCGTAAATACAATAATCAAATATTTAGTTTTGTGTAAGCATTATGAAATAAAATCCAAATGTTTAGTAGTTTGCACCAAAAAACATTTTGTCACACAAACTTGTGATTTTAGAAATAAAAAGTCAAAGAAAGAAATATAAGAAAACCCTAAATTTTAAAAAATAAATTCGAAGTTAGAAACTATTCCACATGCATACGGAATATTTAAAAAATTGGTTAAAACAAATTTAATTTTTTAATTTAATTATAAAATTTGATTCTACGAACTAAAGTTCCATAATTTTTTTGGGACTCTTACAAAAACAAAAAAAAAACACAGGAATTTCTAAGGTCGTTTCTAATTCTTTAAAAAACATGACATAAGGAGCCCCAAAGATTCTTTTAAATTCTTACAAAAGCAGAACACGAGGGATCCCCCAGATGTTTCGACTTCTACCAAAATAAAACATAAGGAGTACCTAATAAGCAGAGTTAGGCACAGCCGAAGTGATGGGGAATCAATCAGACAAATATTAAAAATGGCGACGCGACGTCAGTCGATAAATTTGGCTGGCCGACTGTGCAGTCTCAACTTCAGTAGCGTTGGATGCAATTCAGGGTTTATCTGATCAAGATCATCACAAAAATTGTGAGGAAAACCTAGAAAAAATAGCAACTGTTATTAAAAATTCCAAAAGTTGTAGGCTACAACTGCAGTAGCGCTGGCGATCGGACGGCAGTGAGCGTTGCCGAAGTTTGCTAATAAGACACGTTCATAGTCTTAAAAAATAGGTTTAAAGTTATTTAGACAGAACTTTCCTCGCCGATGAAGTACCAGTTCAACAACTCCAGGTACTCAGAAAAATGATAACATTTGATTTTACGAAATTTTATTTATTTCAGGATATCCCTATAAGTTAAAAAATATAGATAATACTAATCGCAATGTAGGAAAAGCCAATGTCCGGTTAGAATCGAACTGGCGACCTCCGTGTTATTCGATGTGATTTCTACTATGTATGTTGAAAAAAACTATAGACTGATTTTTTCAGGAATTATTCAACTAATTTTAGTAAGACAATAAGTTCGCATTAAAGCGAAAAATTCAAAATTAATACGTTTCGCCTCAGTAGTAACTGATGTTAGGTAATTCAAAAACTGATTTAAACAGACATGGATATTTTTAAATATACGTATGCTTTTGAAGCACACGCAATGTGATATTCGTTATCCCTCTTAGGCGAGGAAAGTTCGCTGCTAATGATATACAGATTTTTTAAAACAGGTCAGGGGAGTTCTTGAGGACATTTTTTTTATAAGGGTGAGTTACTTATTAAGTTTCACATTGTTTGTGTATTAGAGAGACGAAACAGATTCACTCAGATACAAAATTTTTAATAGAAATATTGTAGCAATAACGCTATATTATCAAGCGATAACAAAAGAAGACTATAACGGGTCAATTTTAAGTTGGATTTACAATTTCGCAAGTCCCCATTGCCATGGAAGATGCGATGATAGCAGTCGCGATAACGAATCAAATCATAAATCGCAACAACTGTCATCGCAATTACCATAGCAACGGCACTTGCGATTTCGCAAATCCAACTTGAAATTACCCATTAGTTGGATTTGCGAAATCGCAAGTGCCGTTGCTATGGCAATTGCGGTGACATTTGTTGCGATTTATGATTTGATTCGTTATCGCCACTGCTGTTATCGCATTTTCTATGGCAACGGGGACTTGCGAAATCGTAAATCCGACTTGAAATTAGCCCGTAACTTGATAACTTCAAATTTAGTAACAAAATACAGGTATTCTACGTCAAACAAAAAACTATAACCAAGATAATTTTGCAAATTTAATCAAAAAAAGTTTGTTATCGCAAGTGAATTAAAAATTTTCACAGAAGTATTCACACTTTCATTTTTAAGCGGTGAATCTTTCAATATTGTCCCTTCGTTCTAAAGACATTTCATTATTTCATCATAGTAATTGTGGTAGATAAAGTTTGTGTAATACTTTAGAAATATTTTACAAGGTCTTAGAATAAGAAGCTGTTTTAGCTAACGAGTACCATACAACTTAAATTCTAAAAATATGTCTACCATAATGGTGAAAACCTAAAGTACTCGTATACTCGTATGTATTCTCGAAATAAAAATGAACTTCCTTTACGTACGTATCCGTGTTCCAGAAAGTTTAATTTCAATTGAATTAGTAGATTTTACTTAAACTTCAAACAATTTGCAATTGAACAATCCTATCCTCATGTGCTTTATACCGGGTGTTTTGCATGTTTTTTCTTTACCTAACTGCTCACACTTAATAATATTTATGTTTTCAGTGATAATATCGCTAACAATAAGAATCGTTGTAAATGCAGAATGCCAAAGTAAGTTTTAACAATTTAATATGACTTACATTGCTTGAAGGTGCTTGGTGGCGGTTTTCCCTCACAGTTGCTCTAGACAAAAAAAATGAAAAAAATCAAAGAGACAAAAGCGTAGATTTAACAGAAACGTAACACAATCTTCAGTTGATAAATGTTTTGACAAAAATTTCTAAAAATATCAAGCAAAATAAACACGGAGAAACAAATTTCACTAATGTCTCGACTAGACACTGTTAAAGTTTCAAACACCTCGAAACAAAAAAAAAAGGAGTGAAAACCATCGCTCTAAGTGCACCTACTTTAATGTGACAGGTGTGATTCTTCTTTACTGATGGTAACACGTTACAAAGCATTTCAACACTCAAAAAAACAAAAGGAAAACAAACACATCAAAGAGTAGCTTTTCAACTTGTCATGCACTTTGTTAGACTGTTATAAACAAAGTTATAAGAGTAACATAAACACAAAAACAAATATCTAGTGTACGAACATGTTTTGTAACTTTTGCACGATCTGTAGGTGTGAATCTATCCTTACATTTACTCTCGTATGTGAAAATTAGTTTAATTCCAGTCGCTTCCTGGTGATATTTCATCTGCGGAAGTATATTTTTATTTCGAAATTATTTATAGCGTCACGGTTTTTATGAGCCTGTTTTTAGCGAGACAAATCTACTGCTACGAATGCGACAGTTGGTCCGATATGAGATGCAAGGACCCTTTTAATTACACTGCCCTTCCCAGGGATCAACCGCCATTGATGACCTGCAACGGTTGCTGCGTCAAAATGGTCAGGAATTCCAAATCTCGTAAGTTCTGGCTGGTTTATGGGGTGTAGATGTGGCGGAGGTTTATCGGGATTCGCAATTCTCGTGAGAGAGTTTATATTTAGCTCTCTGAAATGAGGAGATCAAGTTCAAAGACCACAAAATTTATTTAATTTTTGATTTTTAAAATCTAAAATGTGGAAATTTTCGGATTTACATTTTGTGAAAAAAATACCGATTTTAAGTTAATGTAAAGAGTGGTTTTTTATGTAAAATGCAAATAAAACAGTAGTAACTGGTACACACAGGCCAATATTAATGTTCGCAGGACGCGGCGCCGTGGGCTTAGCCATGGACAAAATGGACAATGAAAAATATTTTTGTTATTATTGTTATTTATTTGTATAAAAAGAAATTAAAAAAAATATATCAAAAATTATATAGTAATAATAATAATAATTTAGTTTATCTAGGAGTTTCTTTGGTTTATTAAAATTTACTGCAATATTCGGAATTTTTGCTTAAAATTATTGAAACTTACTTTAAAAAATGGAAAGCTTTGGCAATAACGATTTAAATAATGGAGAAAATAAATAATAAGAAGTTATATGAAAGGTATGTTTTAAAATAGAAGGAGTTCTTGTAGAATGTTCAATTTGATCAGCTATTTGAAATAGCCTGAAAATCTCCACCGAGTTTATGAATACATGAACCACTTTATATGCAAAACACATACGAATACATATTTAAATATATATATTCTCCTTGAAAACAAATCAATAAAACCAAAATAATTTAAGAAAAGGGCGTTCTTGTATATTTTCAATTTAGAAACGAGACAAAAGGACTAGGAACCACCAAGACTCTTAAAACTTTTTCAAAAATAAAACAGCAAAAATCCCCGAGGTCATTTCAAATTCTTTCAAAAACAAAATATAAGCGGCTCCCAAGACACACTCGCTATGATAAAACTGATTTTGGCAAATCACATAGCTTCCAAAAAAATAAAGGGCGGGTGGGTGGGGTTAGTATTTACCTAGATAAGACGGAACAATATTAAACGAGTAGTCACTAAAATGAAGAGGAGGCGGGTGGGCGGGGCTACTGTTTCTTTATAAGACAAAAGATAAAGTCAACTCCGCCCACTTCCTTTTTCCATTTCACTGACTTATTTTATCTGGTGTAAAATGACAATTGAATTATATTTTGGCAACAGGTGTCTCAGTATTTATCAGACGAAAAAAAAATAATTTTTTAAGGACCATATACTAAAATTATTTTCAACTATACAGAGTGTTCTGTTTTCAAGGCGAACCATACAACTTAGTTTTCTTCGGATCTCAGATTCTATTATTTTTCACTACCACTCAGAATATAATTTGCCCCGCCCACCCACCCGCCTCCATTTCAGTGATTGGTTTTATGTAATCTAAATGAAAGATCTATCTAATACTGAACAGAAATAAAGTTAGTCGTTAGAGTGAGAAGAGTGCAAGTAGGCGGGGCTAGAACTTGCTAAGATAAGACTGATGTTGGTAAATGACATATCGTCTGAAAAATAGAGGGTGGGCGGGCGGGGCTAGCACGTGCTATGATAAAACTGATTTTGACAAATCATATAGCTTCTAAGCAAAAAAGGGTGGGTGGGTGGGGCTAGTACTTACCTAGATAAGACGGAACAATATTAAAAGAGTAGTCACTAAATAAATACTACATACTAAATAATACTACTTTGGGAAGATGTGTTTGATTAATTATCAGAAAGAAACAAAAAGAATGGTTTGAGGACCATATACTAAAATTATTTTCAATTATACAGAGTGTTCTATTTTCAAGGCGAATCATACAACTTAGTTTTCTTCGGATCTCAGATTCTATTAGTTTCCACTACCACTCAGAATATAATTTGCCCCGCCCACCCGCCCACCTCCATTTCAGTGATCGATTTTATGTAATCTACATGAAAGATCTATCTAATACTGAACAGAAATAAAGTTAGTCATTAGAGTAAGAAGAGCGCAAGTAGGCGGGGCTAGAACTTGCTAAGATAAGACTGCGACTTTGAAAGCAAGTACAGTATAGCCTCTATAATCCGAACCCACGATTATCCGAATATCCAGTAATCCGAAGAGAGCCTAGTTGAGTTTTGTGAAATTTTTAAAAATTGTCATATTTCGATGCCCTGAATTAATTAACTAATTCTGGAAAAAATCTACAAGAAAAAGTATTTAGTTAAATTTAGAAAATCGTCGAAAATTGCTAGTACTTGCCAAATAACCTACCCTCTAAGAAAATAAAAGGCGGGTGGGCCAGGCTAGTATTTGCCAAATAAGACTCAATTTGGCAAATGACCTACTCTTCTAAGAAAAGGTACTAGATGTGTTTGATTAATTATCAGAAAGAAACAAATAGTATCTTTTCTTAGAAGAGTAGGTCATCTGCCAAAATGAGTCTTATTTTGGCAAATACTAGCCTGGCCCACCCGCTTTTTATTTTCTTGCAGGATAGGTTATTTGACAAGTACTAGCAAATTTCGACTCATTTTGGACGATTTTCGAAATTTAACTAAATCATTTTTCTTGTAGATTTCGGGGCGCCGAAGTCACTTCTGGCCTCATTTCTTCGATAACTTTACCTTTTTTTTTAGAATTAAATAATTAATTCAGTGCACTGAAATATCACAATTTTTAAAAATTTCAAAAAATTCGATGCAACACGTATAGAAAGATCTTGCATCATTTTTGCAAGTAGGTGCATGTTTTCAAGTTCAGTTCGCATTGCAGAGATGTTGTTCGGATTATAGAGATATCGACTTCAACTAGCCTCTGTTCGAATTACTGGATGTTCGGATAATCGTGGGTTCGGATTATAGAGGTTATAGTTACTGTAGTTAGACACTCCAAAGATAAAACACTAAAGATCATAATCTTCGCATTAATCATTAATAATAATAATTTTTTCTTAAAAAAGCCACTAGGCGCTCCCACGATTTTTTCAAACTTTTTTAAAAACAAAACAAAGGATCTCGGAGACTTTTTCAAATTCTTTAAAAAATAACACACAAGGGTCGAAGGGTCCGCGACATTTTTTCAAACTTCTGTAAAAACAAAACATTAGGATCCCCAAGATTTGTTTCAATCCTGTCGGAAACAAAACAAAATGTCCCGAAGGTTCTTTCACATTTCAAACACAAAACACATGGAGTGCCAAAGATTCTTTCAAACTCTTTCAAAAATAAAAAACCAGAGATCATCTCTGTAGCGTACTATATGTTTATTGTTGCTGGGCGTTAGGTAAACAGCAATTCCTTTCTACCCTTCTGGTCTTATTTGCCTACTTAAACTACCACCACCCCGTGCAAAGCCACCCCCGCACAGGCCGCTCTCTAGCCTGTCGAATATTTTGAAAATAACGGCCAGAAAGAGTTCGTCTCTCGTTCGTCGTGGTATTCAGACCACCTTCCGTCGGTCCGGTCTTTGTGGTTGTAAAGGTCCAGCCACCTTCGACTTGGCTCATTTAGTAGGAGTTTAATCAGGCCCAAGCGCCTCGAGGTTGTGTTTGGAAATCGTGGAGGAAGATTGGAACAACAGGGTGAGTCCTTTATCCATATCCTCAATTGTTGTTAGCGTATGCGACCTTGTAACGTAAACATTAAGTCCTTCGAGCCGGATTGTTTAATCAGCCCACGGTTTACAGTTTATTTCGTTGTTACGTTGCAAAAGGCACTCACAAACGACCGTTTTGGTCGGACGCAATTCAAACGCACCAGTTAAACACGGTAACGTATGGCGTAGCCTCTGCCTCCATTCTAGCTATTAGGACCTTGCTGCACTTGGCAGACCTGGGCCATTTACGATTTCCGTTGGCCTCCAAGGCGTTGAGAGAGAATTTGTACAACGACGATCTCGTTTGTTGTTCTGATTCATTAACAGTTGCCACTGAATTGAAGTGTCAACTAATTCAGTTGTTATCTTCGGTGTGTTTTGAGCTAAGGAAGTAGGCTAGCAATCGCGTAGAGTTATTGGACGATATACAAAACGAAACATTCTTTCGGAAGTTGTGCGAATTCATGATCCACTCGGATTATTAAGTCCCGTCTCATTTTTAGCCAAATACGTTATACCGTTGCTATTGCAACTGCAAAATTGCAAAATTTTGAAATGATGTTACCAAGTATTTTTTGGAAAGGAAAAACAAAATAATTTTTCATTAGCAATTTGCCATTTTTAAGGTAACTTCTAAACGTTTGTGTGATTTTAGTCGTTTTTACAGATTAATTAAGTTAAATTGTAACATGCTGTTTTATTTTAGAAGCGTGTTTTTTATAAAATTTAGGTAGGATTGAATTTTATTTAAAATTTTGATTAACATTTTCAAATTATTGACAGGGAAGATCAAACAAATTCTGGTTAGCGTTTTACATCTACACGATATTCCTAAATTGTACCTAACATTTCACAACAGTCAGTCCAATAGTTTTGAGATGATTTGTTTAATAAAATCGTGATAGGCAAGGGAAACACAGATTTTCATACCCTGCGGGTTATCAATCGTTGAGAAATATGAAATTAAAGGTGCCTCTACTCGTATTTACTATTTTAAACATTTACAGAATTTGTGTTTTATTTTTATACCTACTTAATTGTAATCAAATTTGTTGGAATGAAATGAATTTTTCTAGGAAACTTTGGCAAGCCCACAAATCGAACTTAAAAAATAAAAATATTATTATAACTTCACCGAATGTACACTAACCGGCCACCTGAAATATTTCGGAAAACCACTTTAAAAATTAGTACCTAATTTAACTAGTGATTGTTATTTTATTAAGGAACCATTCACTATTGACACAGGATGTACAAATTAGCTCAAAAAAGGAGACAAATAATTACAGAATTAAATTTAATTGAAGAAAGTAATAGAAAAATTGCAATATTTCAGGGTGGCCGGTTTTTTTTTGCTGATCAGTGTATAAAATAACTTTTTATTCACATAGAATGCCTGGTGTGGTCACATTTTTTTTTTTTTATAAACAAAGAATTTGAGTGCGGAAATTTTACAATGACACATCTAGAAACCAAATTGACAAATAAAAAATTGGTCTTTGGGAAAAAATCCCACTTCTGGGATGCATACGTATGAGTTTGCCGAAACTCCTCCTCTCGCCCCGCCTCTTTAGTAATCAGAACCATTCGTTACTCTAAACCCGTAAATTACCTGGCAGCGATTGGCTGGAAGCTTCGCGCTCGCGCCGTCTTCGACCTTGGGTGACGAATACGGCAATTACCACGCCCACTCTTTTCCAGCTTACGAGGTCGTCCGGAGGACTTGCACCTCCCAGCTACAGATCAACCTCTTCATGGTGGACCATGTGTGCATGATGGAAAGTAGCGGAACTGGCCACATGTGCTTCTGTGAGGAGGACATGTGTAACGGAGCTCGAAGTTCTCAGAAGGGCTTTTCTTTTACACTCGTAGTCATAGCTTATCTGCTCCTCCGCCTGTGCATGTATAGGTAGACAGTGAGAGTTATTGCATTAACCGATTTCAAAATAACACGACACCACGCTGACGTTGCTTCAAACAAGACAGAAACGTATGACAGCACTCCATTTTGGTACTAACTTTGAAGCATTGTGGGCATTGACGTAGTTGCTAGAAAGTAGTCTAAGTACCACCTTTAACATAACTCTACCGCTACTTCCATCCATACTTGTATTGGGAAATGATTTATTTTTTTATGGTTGACAATAAGTAAGAAGCGGCACTTCCAGTATGTCGGCGGGCATCGACTGCATGTTGTTAGTTTAGTTTGATTGATTTTGGCAGCTGTCACGCTGTGGCTGGTGTAATAAACGCTTTCGACGCTTAAACGTTGCGTTGTAAAACTGCAGGAAACCATACATACACTCAATTTTTTGCTTTTTTGTAGTTTTATAAGCCACTGTTAAGAGGAAAACGCGTTTACTGTACTACACAGGAGTGGCCAGAAATTAGGCAAAGCATGCTTCGACTTTTACGAACTGAACTAGCCTGTAAGATAAGGGTACTAATTTCTGACCCGTTTCTCCATGGTATTTTGTATGTCAAAATCGTTACAATTACTAGAGAGGATAAGATAATCGTCGATTTATGAATTTTTAAAATTAAAATTAGTCACGTTTTTACGATGGAATTAATGCTAAGCTATAACAGTATTACTGAGGTACGTATATCGAAATCACTTCATTCCTAAAAATAATGCATCAAGTTTATGTCACTGCTATAATAAAATTTTATATTCGTCCGGTTGTTACATATTCAAACAAAAGGCCTCACTTAAAAAGCCTTCCGCATGTGAGAATCAAAAGTAACATCGAGCTGCAAGGTTTTTTAAGATGGGCATTGTTGCAATAATTTCGATTCAATTATATTCAAGGTTTGCTTTTATAACCGTATAATAACTCTAGCCATATCATGTATTATGTGAAGAAGCAAAACAATAATTCATTCCATATCATGTACGATGTTTATTTAGTAGCTGCTTTGAAAAGGAACGGAGTGTCTTCATGTTTGACAGTTTTAGAAGAAGGATTGTGAGAGTCGCAGAAGGGTAAGAAAGATCGTGTTTTACGTTTGAAGTCGCAATTTATAAAGAAATATAATCCTAGACTCTCATAAATTTGTACTTGAGCGGAAATTATGTCAATTAACTGTATACCTACTCGAATTCGGACGAATAATCATTTGCATATTTTAAGTCTTACAAGAGTCATACGGTTTTACTTCTTTGAGAAGCCAGTGCCGATCCCGGTATTTTAAGGGTAAAACAAAGTAAAACCATGAAATATTCCTAAAGCATTGCACAAGTGCTTCATACATCAAGTTGGTTTTGGAAAATCTGTCACCGCATTTTTAATAAGAATTTGCCGTTTCATTAAGATAGGTATCAGATCTATTATTACTGGAGCTGAATTATGGTCCATACCTATCAAGCTGAAAACGTATTATCAAAAAAGCTTACGAAAAGTTAGGTTTTTTGTGACATTTTTAGCAGTGAAAAAAATGATCACTCATACGGAGCGAGGCGGCAAAATTTAAGAAATTTCAAAGCCAGCTTGAAATAAGTACCTACGATGTTTTATAATCACCTTGAATCGGACTGAAACCTAGTGGTAGCAGTGTCCAACTGTTCAGTGTAGTGTGCTAGAGGTATTTGAATCACGAATGACGACTACGACAAATTGTCTGCGATTGTGCCAAATAAAAAAAAAAGGTATAGAAACTTGGACTGATAAATGGTTAGAAGATTTGATAGAGCACGATACTAACTCACAGAAATTCAACTTTTGACCTATTATTAAAAAAAAGTGGCCAAAATTCATACGAAGCAAAAATTATTGTACTTGCAGCTAAAATAAATGTAACTATAGCATACCAGAATTTGGTATTTTAGACATTAAAAAAATAACATGTCAAAAATTTGTATATTCAGCAGTTTCTACAAATGAACATTTGAAATTTAAAAAATTTTGGAAATATTCTTACTCAAAAAAATTCAAAAAATATCGAATTGTTGAAAAAAGAATTATAGAACTTGAATTTAACGAATGTTGAAATAATAGACACACTTATTATAAGATTGGGAAAATATCATTAGAATTCTGATGGAAATAATGACCGCAAAATGTGTGGCATTTGAAAATTTTGGAAAAAATTTCACAGCAATTTAAATAGACTATTTAACACACGTGTTGTCTAACCAACAGAAATGCCAGGTTTATTGCTTACGCGTTGACACATTAAACTTAGGCTTAAATGACAAGAGTGTGTTGAAGATTTCTAATTCCAAAATTTGTAATGAAATTATAAAAAATGTAGAAAATTTTGAATGTTTAATCTAACAACGAAAATGTCAATTACACTGGAATTATACACACGTTAGAATATTTCAAATCAAATATTCGTACTTAAAAAAATTATAATCATAACCAGTATTTATGAGAGGCGGCACAGTAATAAGATGGCCCGTTTTTGAGATAAGCGGGCATTTATAGTGAAATTATTCTACGACAATATCAATTTTACCAGGGTTCGAACTCAGGTTTCTTTCTGACTTGAAAAAGTTGGTCGGTTGTCATCTAGACCATCGTAAATCTGAGTTCGGAGCAGTCGGGGACGTCTAAGCGGCAAATCTCTACCCTTGTCATTTCATCTCTTGCATATGGCTATTAATCTGACAGATCAAAAAAATTCAAAACGGTGGTTGCGAATCTAAAATCTGACAGGATGCAATAAAATATCAAATTAAAGATAAAACATTTCCTTTAGTTTGACAGAATATAGCACTGCGGCGTCAAAATTGTCCAACAAAAACCCAATTGGCATTATGACACTAATTTGGACGTTTGTTTTCTGTTGTCTGTCAAATGCAATAGAGGTGTATATAAGAATAGATGTTCTAAATGACGAAGTAGAGACGATTGCCTGCTCTTAGACGGTTTGCAACTGATTTGGTGTAGTTGTGTAGTTGTTCGGAATAGAGCATCGCTTAGATTTGTGTTTGTGATGTGAAATAGTGGTGTGTGAATACATGGTAGTTTTGCGCCAGCATGCGCTGACACTACACTATTATGGCGCCAATCAAAGCGATATTTGAATTCAGTAAAAATGCACTCAGTGTCAAACAAGTAAGGTTGGAGTTATCATTAAATTGAAAATTTCAAGCGGCCGGCAAAGTGATGGTGACCCTAACCTCACTTTTGTTTGTTGACGGGTTGAGGAGAAACAACATGATTAATGGATCACTACACTGAGTCAATTGACAATTTATCCGTTTTTGTTTGTCAATCTTATTAATTTCTTATTGTGTTTCTGGTTAATAAAGTTTCGTCTCCAGATACAACATCTACAATCTCTGACTGCGTCAAACTCAGATCTACGATGGTGTGGACGACATCACTTTTTCCATGCAGAAAGAGATCTGAGTTTGAATCCCGAGCGGAGACGATTCTTTTTTTTTTATTTAATATACAAAGTGTAAATTTTGAGTCACCTTGGTTTAACAAATCTGTGTTACGTGCACTGGCACACTTAGCACTGTTCAAAATTTAACCGTGCAAAATTTGGTATAGAAATTAAAATTCGATATCATTTTGACATAAAAAAACGCAAAAGACACATTCAAATTGGCAAAATTTTTAAGCACTAGGAGCTCACATAGACAATTTTTACAAAACGGACTATAAAATAATTGCTTTCAGAGTGAGATTTAAAAAAGTAGAACTAAATTAGCGTTTCTATGGTAGATTTAGTTTTACCTAGAATCGTAAAATTATAAATTATTTTTGTTTTTTTACATGAGGAGCTACTTATGTTTAAAAAAATCTTTACATGCGAGGATTTTTAAACACTAGTTTCAAGGTTTGACGCTAAGATGCTCCCTTAAATGTTCCAAAAGGTGTTAAATGTTCTAGAAATTTTCCGCAACTGCCCAATTGCAATATTATGAATGTTGTGATACTACAGTGCAAAGCTAAGTGCCTATAATACATGTTCTTGAAATGTTCCCTCGGTGTGCTTAAAATTGTGATCTCTTTAGACCAAATTCCAGAGTTTGAAAGTCCTCTTCAATTAAAACGTACGTAAGGGAATAAAAAAGGAGCCGTATAATAAAACTCAATTTCGAATGCTGGAGCTGCATTTCCAAATTCTGTTAAAATTAAGCTAAATTTATTTTGACTATAAGAGTAGTCTTTAGCTTGTGGATTTACTTTTAGGCCAAAATAAATTGAATGAAACCCTACACAATTCAAAAGGTATCAAAATCGTGTTCGACTTTTTTCAAATTTGGAAATGTGTGGGGTTTTAATAAATTTAACACGACGAAAGCAATTATCTTTATAAAACAAAAATCAAAAGCGTTGTACACAGTTTTCTAAATTATAACCGTGTGAACTATTTCGGACAAATTTAAAGCGTGTCTTTGGAGACTGTCTCGAATTCCGAAAACTAGTGCAGGTATATTTGTCGAAGCGAAAAAGTTGGCGCTGTGAAGACGCAAATTATACTCAATTAGAGGCCCCACAGTGTTAGCTTTTTTTTCCAAAATGTGTCGATCCAGCGGTATTTTTGGTATTTGAAACAGTTTTTAGTAAAACTGAACTGAACACAGAAATGCCGAGAACAAACCGATTCAGCTGTTGAAATATGCACAGAAAAAGCAAAAGATTCCAAATTTTGATTTGTGGAATAATCAACGACTTTTCTAGAAAATACGTTTTGACAGTCCATGATTCTGGATAAATTTTTCTAAGATTTTGACAATTCTGGTTCTCGGCGTTCTCTGTGTGAGGTTGTTTTGGTACAATCAAAATTAAAAAAAAATTAAAAATATGATGGGGTCAATTGGTCACCGAGCACTTTTGGGTATTGTTCGGTACCTATGACCACCAATTTATAAACAAAAAATATGCAGATTGAGCTAAGGGTTTTTAAAAAATATATGCAGTTTAGGCGGGAAGTGACTAAAGAGCATTTTCTGATTTTAAAAATAGATGTCAGTGGTACATACACAGATAAGATTCTCATTACCTTTTATATTGTATTTATTTTTTATTTGTAAATTTTACCAACCTGTTACGAGCGGAACGAAGCGTTTGTCATTAGAGTCAAAAAAAAGAGCAAAAATTACAAAAAAAAAAAAGGAAAATGATAAGCTTTCAACAACTATTTTTGTCCCTTTTTTTCAATTTGATTTTTTACTGTTAGTTTTAAAGTATTTTGTAACTAAATTAAAAAAAAAATAGTTTGTCCAAAATTTTTACTTTTTTATTTTCCAATTAAAGAAGTTGTTCAACAATTTAAAATTTCAGTCTTCTATAGACAACACTGAATAACACTATCTAGGTAATTTGGTCAACATAAGGGACAAAACAAACTAAACAAAAGTAAATAAATGCCTGGTGTATTATACTTAGTACTGTCACGATCATCAAAAATTTCGATTGGGTTGCAGTAAAAAACAAAATTTACGACACGAGAAGTTGCAGCGCATGAAATTGTCAAGTTCGAAGCAAAATTTCATTCAACAAAAGTGTCAAATTAGTTTAAAATTGGCGTTGATTCTAAATTTATTTTATTTTTTGGCAGATAAGAATTATCAGGTGCCGAGTGATCCAAAAAGCCTCAATTCAAAAAATGATAATAACTGAAACGAAAATTCGTCCATTTGCTTAAATTATAACATCTACGTCGACACAGTTTGATTAAACGACGACAAAATTCAAAATGCTCCTAAGTAAAAAAAAAGTACAAACATTTCTGAATGAACTACTAAAATAGTGGCAACACATTATCCAATTATCAAAAATATCAGAAAATTAAATAAATTATAATCTTACTAGCAGGTCCTAAACAACATAAAAATAATATTTACATTTCTGGTAAAATTAACAAACAGCGAGTATTCAAGTTGTCAATTTTATGTAGAAATAAACCACAACTGTTAACACCTTTTGCCGGTAATGTTGACACCAAAAAGACGAAAACAGCATCACGCGAACATTGATTCTAGTAGTCGTTCTCATGATGTCAATATTACTGACGAAACGCGTTGACTTGATGGTGTGCGCATGAGGTGTCGCGTGAACGTAAAATAAACAGTTTGAATCACCATAACCTATATGAAACTTACGCACATAACTTGTTATAACTGTTAACAAAAAAGGTAAGAAATTGTCAGTGTAAAAAATAGGAGAAAAAGTATCAACTAAAAGACAAAAACTTTTAAAACTATCAAATAGGACGGGCCCAGTGGTAGTTTTAAGAAACTTTGTTTTTCTAGATTTTTATTTCTTTGAAATTTTAAACTTAGCTTATTTTTTTTGAGGGAGTTTTAAAAAGGATTTAATCGACAATAAAAACGGTTCATTCTTCCATCGTTTGCAGCAATAAATTTTAATGAAAATTAAATAATTATTCTGATCAGGTACAAACTCTGCAAACTAAACAAGACTGGAGCTTTCAAAATTCTTATCTGACTGATGTGAATCGAAAAGGACTAGATTGTATTATCCAGCAATAAATTTATTACTCTAAATTACACTTCACTAGCACTATAGAAAAATATATGAAGCTAAAAATATCACAAAATAACTGCTAAGCAAAGAAAATGAAAAAATATGTGACGCTACTAAGTATATACATTCAGATTTATAGATAAAGTGGTGGAAACGTATTGTTATTTCCCAGAGAGTTTAATGTGATAGACTCTATTTCAAAATGGTGTTATTAAAAATGTAGGCAGGTTGGTAAAGAGTGCTTTTTTTTAGAATAAATGCGGCTGTAATGCCACTATAATGGTGCAAAAGTTTCCTTCTGGAATTTCTCGAATCGCTAGAAACCTGTGCTAGCCAAATATATAAAAATTAATTAAAAAAAAAAATCGAAAAAAAAATTTAATGACATGAGTGATTCCACATGAAAGCAACTCAAAATAATTTTCAGAATCATATATCCCCAAATCAGGTGTTAATCACGGAAAAGAACTTTAGACAGTACAAGAAAAATTCTTTTAATGTAATAAAATCTTAATTAAATGCAAAAAAAAATACACAAAACAATCACTAAACTCGGAAATTTATCGGATTCATCAAATAACCGAATTCAGAGTGCTAAAACTGAAACACCTAGAGCTGATTTGACGTGGAATCACTCACATCATAAGACTTTGTTCAACTAAAGCTAAGATACTATTTACCGGTATATTCCAAATCAGTATGAATTACGAAACAACATCGCCTTCAACACGATAGACGAAATATTAGGAGCAAACTATAAAATTGAAAGTCTGAAAAACGCCTCTATATACTGCAACAATACTACCTATATATCTAGATTTAGTACGAGAGGAGAAAATGGTACTTGCAATCAACTTAGCTGTGAAATGAATTCCAAAATTTTGGTCAGACTGATAAATGCAAAATTTTGATGGTGCCACTGGGCTTAAAACTGGTGCAAAAATCTTTCCAGGTTTTTCAAGTGGTTAGAAAGATGCGTCTGCCCAAAATATATACAAAAAACAATGCAAAAAAAACAACAAAAAAAACAACATATGGGTAATTCCAGTTTAAACCAACTTTACATAAAACAATGTTTTTATTATTGTAAAGCAACATATAGAGTGTTTCGCAAGTTGCAATTACTCGGCCGCTTCACTGTTGGCACACTCTGTATTTGTAAAAATTTAACTGGAAAGGTTTACTCGAAGAACATCCTAATTTTTAGCTGCATCTGGTTGAGAGAATGAAGATAGAAACATTTTAACATACGAGTGGAATTACCCATATGTGACATTCTGTCATATTTAGTACTTAGGTACTCATAAAACATTACAACTTTTTTTTGTTTTCGATCCAAGACTGACAAGATAAATATACAGAAAGTATTGCGGATAATATGACAATGCAATAAAATCTTGGTTTCTTTTTCAATTCTTAATCCTTCTACAGTATCATACTATCAGAAGCCGAATGTTCATTAATCAATCACAATTAACACTATCTTTGAATTCAGACTGTGTTTCTTAAAATTCTGACGTGCTGTAACCGTGTTTTGGTATTTTCAGGGCGCACTTAAAATATCAAAACACCAAATAATAATGAATAAGACACCCACTTTATCGTATTATAAAAATTTTAACCTATAGCTGTAATAAGTGTACTATATGTAATATAATGAGTGTTATCTTGACGTCGTAGCTTAACAAATGCATGTTTTTAGTCTACACACCGATATAAATTTTATCAAATTGGAGATAAAATGTTAGTGTTTAAAAAAATTGTATGCACACTTCAAGCAAGCAAAAATGAGTTTTACCTAGACTTTGAGTCGACATTCTACATATTGTACCGAACGTTCACCGAACAACGACAATCCCGAACTGAGACCAAAGGCGACGTCCAGATTTGAATTAAAGTTGACCGAATTCCGAAAACTGTCTTTCTTTCCTTCGTTTGCGACTTCAACTACCTCACGAATTTCGTTCCTTTCCAGGCTGATTGTTCAACTCTGTTATTGTTATGTACGATATAAATTTTATGACGCTCAATAGAATTTAAGTTGTTAATTATTCTTAAGTAACACACTGCATCTCCTAATTTAAGTAGTGTATAACATAGATACTAGAAGCATGATTGCACGATTTGCACAATTACGGATTAGAAGCAAATTGTGGCATGAGGCAGTTGAAAGGCTTTTGTTGTTTGTTGTGGATGATTGTTGTTCCTTCTGCAATGTGGAGACCGACGTCCACAACAAACTGTCTCTAACCAAACGACCGAAGGCATGTTTCAGTGAGGCAAGCTTAGGCTTGAGTTAAAAATCGCTCCACCTCACAGAAGATTTATGATAGGCCATTTTACGATATTTACGTCATGTACGCGGTCAGAGCTTTCGGGAAGTCGACGCTTTGGGCGACTGAGGTCACGCACGGTGCCGGCAAAACGACAGCTCTGACGCATTTTGGAAACTTTCAGTGTAAATATTTCTTTGTTGAAGTAGTTTTAACATATCATGAGAAAAAATAAATATTTAAGTAAAGTCGTGTGTTTCCGTTTGGCGACTTGTGAGTTGTAATGTTACAAAAGCAGTAGTTTAAATGAAACCTAGGATAGTTTCCGGGTGATGCCGTGATTTAAAATTGCTGACGTTTCAAACCATCTTTCGCTTTTCTCTTTAGAGTAAGTATCAGTTAGATTTGGAACTCAACATTTAAATTAAGCTTTAGGTATAAGTGCAATTTTTTGTTTTTGAAATAACGTCACTAATTTTTGATAGGGTTAAATAAATTAATTTCAGGAAAATTGTTTGAGTCTGTATTTTTCTTGAGACCTTTTAGGTAAGCAGTACTAAAAGCAAAAAAAAAACACTTTACAATGACGTCATGAAATATTTGGATGTGTAAATCAATTTAGTTGATTCCTAAATCCGCACTAGTGTGTCAGCAAACTTTCAAAATTTTTGTTCTATAATTTCCAACTTTATTTTTCAAGAAAATTCATATATAAATTTAAAAATTACGTTTGAATCATTATTAAACCACAAACAAATACAGGAGTAGATCGTCTTGCACAATGAAGGTGAGTATTCTTAATGTAATTTGTAGATGTCATCAGTTTTTTGGAGCACATGAATAGACAAATTTTGGTTAGTATTTTAAATTTTAAATTTCAAAGTAAGTAGTTCAGTAGTTTCGGAAATTATTTATAGCACAAAATCACCAACAGGTACAGACGAACAGAGATATCAAAGTTGTATTTGTACGAAATGGTAAGGAAATTTTTGTTGATCATTAAGTGGCTTAATGTAGAGTAAAGAAATTTTCTATTAAAATATTAAATACATATTTTTATGCCGATCAAAATTTTCAGTGGGAGGCTGATAAACGATTTATATCACAACTTCAGACAATGGCATGAAAATAGGTTATTTTCAACTGGACGGGGCTACAGTGCATTGGGCTAGGACCACAATAGCAATATCTTACGAGATTTCTTGATAACAGGATCATTAGCCGAAATAAAAAAATACCTGGCCCCCGAGATTTTGTGATGTTACTTCAGCATTCTTTTGTGTGGCTCTGTTTAAAGAACACTATTTATCGAGCACCTGTCAGCAGTTTGGAATTAAAGTTCAGAATAACAGAAAAAATTAGCAACATAAAAAATAATACGTACAGAGATGTTGAAGCATATAGGTATGTGACTGACGGAGTTAAACGCAAAGCTTATTTATGCTTACAACAAAATGAACAACATTTTCAGCATTTACTGTGATGTAATTTTATTTATTACATTTCTCTCGCATAAATCTAAACTATAAATTTTTGCTTTCAAAACATTAATTTCTTTTTCAGCCCCCTGCGTTATTTTTTCTTGTAAAATTTTCATTTTGCAATTTCCTGATGAAGTTCTCTTTTTCCAAAATAGTCTGCTGAAGTTCATTAACAACATTTTCTTTGCGAAGAATGGGTAATTTTGACGTAAATTCAGCCACATTATAAATTGTTGGAATTGCGTTCTCACATAATTTTGCACTAACTTCAAATATAAAATTTTCTTTTTTGAAGTGAACCTGTTGACCAACGATTAGATGGAAAATTCAATTTTGGACAACAACCTCGCAGATGTAAGCCCTTTTGCCAATTTTCCAAGATTGATATTGCATCTGTTCTCTCCATTTATTGCGTAATATCTCGTTTTTGGGGCATTTAAACAATGATAGGTAAACCATTTGCGTCTGTATTACTGTAGTTTCGTACGCAGCAGACGACCACCATTCTCTTCGACGTCTATATGCTAAATGACAATTAAAAATTGTCAAAACATGACTAAAAAATCATCCGCAGCCAGCATAGTAAAATAAAATTTGCTCTTTTCTAAAGTATATCTAGGGAGTCTAGATTTTAGTTTTCTGTCTCTGTCAGCCAAATTTTCCATAGTTAAAAACAAATTAAATATAAGTTCTGTTGGGTATGTTAATGTTTAAATTTTCTTAACACACTTTAAATTCCGTCTAATTCTTGCCAAAATATAGCCAGCAACATTATACGAACAATTTTATGTTACAATACAAAATGCTTGGTTGTATAATTGTTCCAGCCCCTAGGAAGAGAAACTGTCGAGACTGCAGAAGAAACGGCATTACTTGAAGCTGGTAAACCCTCTTATAACTTCCCCTACTGTAGGTAGTGTAGGGATGCTTGATATGTTAAGTTGGCAGCGCGGGCACTAGGCGAGTGCGCGCTAGAGAATTGTGAAAGAGAGGTTAAGACAGTTAAGAGTGAGAATAAAAAGCAGCTACCCCTAAGTGTTATTATTCCGGGTTCTTGAGGCTCTCAGGCACGGCCGCACATGGTGTCAGGTGTGAAAACAACCAACGGATAAGTTCGAAAAAAAGAAACAAACAAGAAAATCCACAAAATGACGGACAACGGCGACGATAAGCAGGAAATCGCTGACCTACGCCAACAACTGAACGTCCTACAACAAATGCTCCAGAATCTGCACTCAACTGCAAAACCAAGCGTAATTAATTCAGTGCCGGCTCCCGAAGCATTTAGTTTCGACAAAAACGAATGGACGGCATGGCTAACGCATTATGAACGCTACAGAATAACGACAAAGTTGGACACAGCAGACGAGAAAGTACAAATAAATAGTCTTTTGCTCCACATGGGCCAGAAAGTCACGAAGATTCTCGAAACGAAAAAGAAAGACGAGTATTCATTCGACACGTACGCAGAGGCGAAACAATTTTTTACTGGCTACTTTGTTGGAACTACAAATATAATTTATGCAAGAGCCAAGTTCAATCGGAGAAACCAAAAAGAAGGTGAGTCCGCACAAGAATATATTACTGCCATTGTTGCTCTAGGTAAAGACTGTAAATACGGACAGTTAGAGGATGAATTGGTTCGTGACCGACTTGTAGTGGGCATACGGGATCAAAAATTATCCGAGTCACTACAATTGACTGAAAAATTAACCCTAGAAATGACGGTAAATAAAATTATGCAAGCTGAGACGATCAAAACAGAAAACCAAGAGCTCAGAGAGGGGGTGCATATAGGCGCTGTCAAGAACAAAAAGCCACAAAAGCAGAAAAGTAGTCGAGAACAAAGGAATCGACCAGAAAAAAAAAACAGCACGTCATTTGTATGGACAGAAAAACACGAGGAAGAATTCCAGAATTTAAAGGAAACTATAGCATCAGCTCCCGTATTAGCAAAATATGACGTCGACAAACCAACACGAGTCGCAGCCGACGCCTCAGCATTTGGAATTGGAGCTGTGTTGGAACAACAGCAAAATGACGACAACTGGAAACCAGTGTACTTTTGTTCCAAAACCTTAAGTGACGCGGAGCAACGGTATGCTCAGATCGAAAAAGAAGCACTCGCAGCCACGTGGGCATGCGAACGGTTAGAGCAATTTCTCATAGGATCGCGTTTTTTAGTGCTAACGGACCACAAACCGCTGTTAGTGATATTAACGACGAAAGAAATTAATAAACTCTCCAACCGATTACAAAGACTAAGAATGCGGTTGTTAAAGTTTAATTATGATGTGCAATACGTCCCGGGAAAAACATTCCATGTACCCGACGCGTTATCTCGCGCACCTCTACACGAAGGCGACCGCGACGGCGATTCAGCGCTTAAGGACCAGGAAATATATATCAACGCAGTGTTGACAGAACTATCATCGAGTTCCTGCTCAGAAGAGGTGGTACGGAAACATCAGGAGGAAGATCAAGAAATGCAACTATTGAAGAAATTTGTAGTAGAAACATGGCCAGGAAAACCACCTACTGCCGTGACACCATACTTTAAATTTCGTAACGAATTAAAAATCCACAATAACCTAATCTGTTATAGAGATCGCTTAGTAATTCCCAGGGCCCTCCGCAAGCAATGTTTGCGAGTACTACACGATGGACACCTGGGCACGCCCAAATGTCTGGAAAAAGCGAAGACAATAGTTTGGTGGCCTGAAATACGCCGACATCTGAAGGATATGGTTGAAAACTGCGAGACTTGTATCAAGCACCGCCAGCCTGTAGTCGAGCCAATGATCCCTTCCACAGTACCATCCCGTCCGTGGAAAGTCCTAGGTGTGGACCTCGCCTACTACAATGGAAAGAATTACCTAGTGGTGCAGGACTATTACTCGAAATACCCTGAAATTCGCAAGCTGAAAAAACTGACTAGCTTAGAAACAATAGAATATCTCAAGGACATATTCTCGCACCATGGAATTCCGGAAGAATTAAGAAGCGATAATGTTAAACAGTTCGACAGCCTCGAGTTCAGAACTTTTGCCAAGGACTACGGATTTCGATGGGTGAGCAGCAGCCCGGAATTCCAGCAGAGTAATGGACAAGCAGAAAGTGCAGTCAAACTATTGAAAACCATCTTGAAGAAGAACGAGGATCCATTTCTGGGCATGCTGGCCTACAGAAATACTCCCTTATCCTGCGGAGCCTCCCCAGCCCAGCTGTTGTTTGGCAGGCAGTTACGGGACAGGGTGCCAGCAATAAGCAGAAGATTGGTACCAAAGCTGCCAAACCATCAAGCAATTAGGAGAGAAATGGAGGCAGAAAAACAACGACAAAAACATCACTACGATAGACGGCATCGCACGAAAGATAATGCGGAGCTGAAAGCTGGTGATCGAGTGTGGCTTATTCATCGAAAAGAAGAGGGAATGGTGCAGACGCCAGATGAAACACCAAGATCATACTGGGTAAAGACTCCTCATGGCCAGGTCAGAAGAAACCGACAACATTTGCAAAAACTACCAGAGCTGGGTGAAAATCCCCCAAGAAATTCTGAGCCAGAGATCATGTCTTCACCAACCAACAAACAACCAAAAACGCCAACACCTCCCGTCTCTGCGAGACCAAACCGCACGAAAAAACCACCAGGCAGATTTAAAGATTTTGTGATAGATTAAGCCACTTTCTAGTATTATATTATTTAGATACGTTGTTATTTTAATAGTTATATCTTAGTTTTGTAAATCTAGTTTAAAGTAAAGAATAATACAAAAGAGGGGGGATGTAGGGATGCTTGATATGTTAAGTTGGCAGCGCGGGCACTAGGCGAGTGCGCGCTAGAGAATTGTGAAAGAGAGGTTAGACAGTTAAGAGTGAGAATAAAAAGCAGCTACCCCTAAGTGTTATTATTCCGGGTTCTTGGGGCTCTCAGGCACGGCCGCACAGGTAGATACTTTCGAAGTATTGAATACACATACATTTTTAAGAAATGACCTAAACTGAAGTGCTATTTCTTGTCTCAGTCTTATTTGACTAAAAGTGTTTTCTAACGCATCTTGTGAAAATCTTAACATACACAATAATGTATCACCTCTAAGGCTTAAAAAGTATTCCTGAAGATCTAAAATAGTTTTTGCTGACAAAAGTTAAACCTGTTCCTGTTTGTACTGGTTTGCAGTAGCCCCCGTTCCCAGAATTGATATTTTTAAATAAAACAATAATTTCTTTCAAAAATTTTAAAGTGTTTTTGTATTCACGTAAATTAGATTTGCTAATAGCCGAAATGTCACATCGGGACGACATGATACGGGACCATTTACTTAAAACCCAGTAAACACGAAACATTTATGAAACATTACGAAACATCCCAAACGCGTATAATTTGAAACGTTCCACTGTAACATTTCATAAACAAACGTGCAACCTAAATAGAAACGTTTCAGGCACATTTTTGCTGAAACGTTTCTCAAACGTTCCTCTTGAGACGCATTTAAAACATTCTTCAGAGCGCTTGCGCACTGCAATTTTGACAGAGGAGTATTTTGTTATTGCGCATCGTGCTAGAACGACGGATTCCCGCGAAACGTTCGTGTTTTGTGAAAAAATAAGTACCATAAAGGTTCTTGAATCGGTATTAGTTTATCGTATTAACGTATAATAACCTACTGTATATTAAAGGTACTATTTTTATTAGTACATCATATGTATATGTGATTTGCGTAGTTGTAGCGTCAACATATATGTCGGAACAACATGTCGCAAGAGAAAAAAGAATTACTTGAAGAAAGGCATGTAAGTAGCTTATTCTCTAATCGAACAAATAAACTTGTGGTCAGTAAACGGCATCTCCGAAGATTAGTACGTAACAATATTTGCAAGTCATACACCCACGGATCCACAAAGAGTACAAGTACTGATTTAAAATTAAGTAGCCAAATTTGCAGTGTAAAACACCAAAATAAATTCAACGTGCAATTGTGTAATCATCTTGATCCCGCAAAAAATATTCCATCGGCAAATTGTTACAGTATTGCTGTTGCCTCATCCGTTGATGACACGTATTGTGAACGTCGGCGATTTTCGCCGCCGCAGAAATCAACACAAGAAATAAATAGCTTCACATCTGACTTTACTCTTAATAATGAATTGCCATTTCTTGACACTCATGAAAATCCAGCTCATGAACGCCCGAATAATACTTTCGTGAATGATATTCGTAATTGGATACTTCAATACCGAACATTGCTCTCTCAACAAGCTATTAATGATTTGCTGCAAATTTTAAGACAAGGTGGTTACAATTTACCCAAAAACGCTAGAACTCTATTGCAAACGCCCAGACCATGTAATATTATTGATGTACTTGAAGGACATTATTATCACTTCGGGGTTGCGCGTGGAATTTTAAATAATTTAACTGATGTCCAGACAGTAAAAGAGAACGATATTTTAAAACTCAGTTTAAACATAGATGGGTTGCCACTGACTAAAAGCTCTACTAGTCAATTTTGGCCCATATTATTATCAATAGAGTCAAGATTATCGCCTCCATTTATTTGTGGAATATATCACGGTATGAAAAAACCAAGCGATGTTAGTCAGTTCTTAAATGAATTTGTCCAAGAATTCAAATTTTTAGAGCTAAATGGTTTAGAGGTTGGCAAAACAAAAATTTTTCCTAGGATTTCTAAGATTATCTGCGATGCTCCTGCCAAGGCATTCATTTTAGGTGTCAAGGGTCACACAGGCTACCATGGTTGTACGAAATGTATTGATCAAGGCGAGTACATAAATGGCAGAGTAACTTTTCAGAGTTTGGTTTCTCCGTTGCGCACAGATGATTCCTTCAAAAACAAAGAAGATGATGATTTTCATTTGTATAATAGTCCACTTGAAAATTTAAACGTAGGGCTTGTTAGTAACGTATGTTTGGACTACATGCATCTTGTGTGCTTAGGTGTGATGAAACGGCTAGTACTTTTTTGGGTGAAAGGTAAAAAAGATGTTAGAATTCCTGACTCGAAAATGGCCATTTTATCTAAAAACATCTTGAAGCTTAAAAAAGTTATACCTATAGAATTTGCAAGAACTCCTAGAAGTCTTCTCGAAGTCGATCGTTTTAAAGCAACAGAATTTAGACAACTGTTGCTGTATACAGGACCAATAATATTAAAGGATGTTTTACCCCGAGACAAATTTTTACATTTCATGTCGTTACACACGGCTATTCGTTTTCTGTGTTCACCTGAATTGTATCTTAAATATAACAACTCAGCTTGTGATTTATTACGTTATTTTGTAAAAAATTTTGGTGCATTATATGGGAAGGAATTTGTTTCTTATAATGTACACAATTTAATACATTTGCCAAATGACTGCTTGCTTCATGGTAATTTGGATGAATTTAGCGCTTTCAAATGTGAGAATTATTTATACAATATTAAAAAAATGGTCAAAACTTCACGTCGACCATTACAACAAATTGTTTGCAGGCTGACCGAAAGACTACAATTAAATGAGAAGACTGGTGTCAGTTATCCCCAACTAGAATATGAAGTAGAAAATCAACTGAATGAAAATATTACATGCTTTAAGAAATTAAAATTGAAAAATTTTCAAATTATAATAAATGACAAAGATAACTTTGTCCTTTTAAGTGATAACAGTATATTTTGTGTCAAGTATATTGCTAAAAATTTCAACAATAACATTTTTCTTTATGGCAAAAAATGATATCCGCTATCATCATTGTACACTGAACCTTGCAATTCTCAAGAATTTTTTAATATAGTAACAACACAAAACCATTTATCTCAAGATTTGTGTAAGATACAGTGTGACGATATTAAACAAAAATGCCTGAAGTATATCATCAATGAAGAAACGTTGGTTTTTATACCACTATTGCATAACGAGTAACAATAAATCACGTTCATCAGGTTCGTACTTGTTAATCTAATTATCTTTTAATTATAAATTTATTTTGTATAAGACGAAACTGGTGTGTATGCAGTAAAAAATTATGAACTAAAATTTGTACTGGTGTCACGAAAAACTAGGGCAGCTATTTATAACATACTGTTGTAATATTTTAGAAAATTTTAAGCAGCATCACTAAGGTTGTAAAGTCTTTGTGATTTTACGGTTAACCATATATGCTTTTGCTGTTATTTATTAAGTATTTGTAAAAAGTATATTGGCCGAAGTTTATTTAAGGCATAAATAAAATTAATTACATTTTTAATACCAGCTAAAATTTCATAATGCTGATGAAAGAAATAGTTTTTACGCTAACAATTCCTACTTACAGTAGTCTTATCATTATAATTATCGTTTTAGTCTTCGTTTCTTTTTATTTGATTTGCTACTTAGATCAGCCCAGAAGTAAAACTACGATTGTGGGATATTTACTTACAACTAATAATATTTAAACATCATTCGTACAGCAATTGGTGTTTCATCAGAAATGGAAATAATCATTATAGCACTAAAATAGTGCTTGTTCTCTCTCGTTAATTTGTCGTTCCAGTGGACTGTTGTTGAATTCACCAAGGACGACGATTATCGGGAAATATCCTGCATTCCCAACAATTGGGTCTTCAGCAAAAACGACGAAGTATTTTCGTTTTGGCCGAAGAGGAATATACGAAAACATATCAAAAATGCAACTCCCCCAGAAAAGCAATGGGACGTTTGGCCGGCAAGGGTAATGCTTAAAAATAGCGGTATGCATATTTTTTCGCGTTGTTACGTACTGTTTTTAACATTTTGATTATAGTATCATATAAGGAAGCTATTTCCTTTGAGAAAAAAAATGAAAAGGTAACTGAGTCAGAGGGAGAAGAAGTTCGTTCCAAGAAACGCAAACGAAAGGCAATTTGTCTTAAGGATTTTATAACTGATGTACTAGAAGAAGAGGAAGATGATCAAATTCCACCTCCGCCAAAAATTATTAAAGGTAAAATAGTACATAAAGTTTAAGTATGTCGCTTTAATTTTTATATTGTGTGGAAAAAACCGTTTGTGTTTCAGCACCACCTTCGCCAGCTACGACAGTGCCTTCACGATCCCTAAATGATATTTGTATGTTAAAAACGAAGTGTGTTGTGTAATTTTTTATGTTTCATGATTTTAGTATCTGCCAGGGGTCTTGAAATGAGATAGCCTTCACCTTACCCTTTCATGCGAAGTTTTCCGACCCGCCCGCCAGGAGTCGTAATGAAAAGAAATCTGTAAAAGCTGTGATTTTCAAAATTTTTGAGAATTCGTTTAGATCTCCTAGCAACGGCAGTGTTTATCATTTGACACATTTCCTGTGTTGTATTCGCGTGATTTCATAGTGGGATAGTGCTTCTCAAAGTTTTCTTAATTTATGTGTTTACATTGTACATTGTAGAGTGTAATTGCCAAATGTAAGTATATAACTTTGCCTTGACTAGATTATTATACCCAATTTTTGTAGAACAAAAATGCAAGACAACAACATGTTGCGGATATACGACGAGAGTTAAGCCGATCTTTGGGTTCCACATCCAAATCGGTTTATGGCGCAAATAATAAAGCCGTGAATAACCAAAAACTGGTGGTTTTAAACAACAACCAAATTTATAGCAGAGGGTACACTGGCTTCCATCATTTTCGACCAGACAAAGACTATACATACCAGGAACGCAAAAGCCGCATAGATTTGCAGTACCAGCTATTTTGCCTTTCCACGGTAAAACAAATTGAAAGTCACTACAAAACCAATATTAAGATATTTTTATTCACAGCTGATAGTGAACTTGCTACAGCATCACTCGAAGCAAACCACATTGATGTGGCAATCACAAGAACGCCTTTCGCTCCGCTAAGAAGTTTCTAGGAGATCAACGTTTGGTTGGTATCGTGAAAGGATTGGCTTCTTTTCAGCGAGAATTTTTTGAAAACTAGATTAGAAACGTAAATCGAAAAGCAGGAGTTTTACATTTGAGGTGAAAGCAGATGCCATTGCCATTTGGAAGTATGGTTCAAAATCGTATAAACTTCTGCCAAGAATGTTTATGTTGCTATCTATTAACACTTTGAGGGCAACCCTAAATAAAGTTCCAATAGAACCGGGTATCATCAAACCTATATTCGAAGTTCTCAGAAAGCAAGTAAGTCGCAAAATTAACCCTAAGTATGTACTCTCATCTTTGATGAGATGTTCATTCAGCCTCATCTGGACCACTTGCCTTGTGAGGATAGTTGTGGTTTTTGAAGATGACGGTTCAACAAGAACGGAAAAAATTGCAGACCATATTTGCGTACTCAGAGGAATTTTCGGAAGGTAGAAGCAACCTGTTGTTTTTGCTTTTTGTAAAAATTCCATGCCTGGCGTAAACACTGCCCATTTTTTTATAAAACGGTTATGAAAGGGGCAACAGCGATTGATTTTGATTTTCGGGAGTGTTTTGCATATCGAAGAACTAAAAACTCAACTTTTTCATTTATTTTTAAGAGAGTCTATCTTTAGATCTATGAAAAAAGTCAGCAATGTAGTATTTGGTAAGGAAGAGCCTAACAAATCAATTCCATTGGAAACAGAAATGCAACAGTTATATTTACGTTTTACAGAAAGAAAGTAGAACGTTTGTATAATTTTGGATTTTGCAGGTTATTTTGTTTGTTCATACCATAACAAAGTACTGGGAAACATATTTGGTTATCAATTTTGAACATTTAATATTTAAAATGTTATTTTATTTTGCACTATTTTGTTTGACTTTTACTTACTTTTCTAATTTTCTCTTAAGATATTTTTAGGATATTATCAATGTATTTATTTATTTATTGTTATTATTGTATTTACATTTACAACTGAATGTTAAGTTTTAAATATACTGTGTCAAATATTTTATCTACTTTTTTTACACTGTTTGTGTTTTTTATATGTCAGCTTCAAAACGTATTTACACGTTTTGAAACTAACATATAAAATACACAAACCATATTTTTCCCTTCAATTATAAAAAATTCACCTTAAAAATTCGCTTTCAAATTTAGCGCCAGTTTTAGTTCCCGACCCAGCCAGTAGATGCTGACATTGTGACCAACATAAAAGCATTAGAGATCGTGTTCTATAGAGAGGGTATTCTATGGTATCTGCCAAATCCTATGGTGACATTGCCACTACTTCTGGTGATACTTGTACGATAGATGACTAATAGAGTACGGTGCCAATCAATAAATTTCGGACACTAATGTCATTTCATTGTCATGAGTCTAATTTAACTACATGCAAATTTTGACGTGACAGTAAATTTGAAGTCCGAAATTTATTCGCCGGCCTTGTACATCTAATCGTTCATTTATATATTTGTTGTTCTGTTTTAGTATCAGTAAGAAGCTTGGAACGTAATAATAATGATTCACCTGCGACCTGTACGTAGATTACAATATCAAAACGTCGTACTTTAAGTTTTTAATTTTGTAGTATCGTTAGGTTCAGAAGTTAATACTTCTCCACAAGACTCCTTAATCATTACTGAACCATGTAATGTTGATGGTAAGTTTAAATAAAATTGAAACTGAAAATTACACATAGCTATTATATTTGTAGATCAAATTGTAGACAAACTAAATGAAATTATAAGAAAAACCACTCGGGTAGAAATTATGGTGAAAAGATTATTACAAAAAATTAGTAATGATCCTACACATACCCCATTACATAATACTGACAGTATTAGTAATACATGTATACAACCTTTTACAAAGTACCGGCTGTTATGTGAATACGAAGAAAGATTAAAATCTGGCGAGGACGCCAGAAAAGAACTGGTAAATATGCAATATCTAATGTGTTCATACGTATATATTTAAAATTTAAATCAAATAATTAGGACAACATTTTCCGCTTATGTGGAGGCAACTCCACTAAAGAAAATATAAAAAGGGGTTTGCGCCACATATTTGATGATAAATTGGCTCGTAAATGCTCTTGGCTGGGTAGAAAAAATAATTTTCAAGTGTCTAACTTGATCATTATGGATGTACTAAAAAGTAATAATATGTATGTGTTTATTATTTTTATTGATTTAAAGTACATTTTAGATGCAGTTCGAAAAAATTTTCCGTTATTAACCGACAAAATATTTGAATTAACTGTTTCTACATGGCTGAGACAAGCAAATCTTCGCTTCACGAGAAAACTTGAGAAATAGTTGTTTTATTTTAACTGTGCACTTTGTAAGTTACTTTTGTTTAAAATTACCATATCATATATGTAATAAATACATATTCCAAAAAATTGAGTAGTATTATTCAGTGTTTATTTTATTTATTAAAATAATTTTTTATTTAGTTATTTATGTATGTTTGTGGATTTAATGAATTCTACTAAAAGATATTAAAAAATAATATTTTGTTGAGGTCGTGATAAAAGAAGCCCGTATTTCGAACCCCAAACCAAATTTCAGTAGGTAAGTATATATGATAATATAATCCACATACACATATGTATATATGTCTAGTATTAAATTATAGCATAGCTATTAAAAATATACAGGTATTAATTTGTTGGTGAAACATTCTTGATACCTAAAAAGATGTTTTATACAAGATGTTTCAAAGCTGTTTTAAAAACGTTTCACATGAAATGTTTCAAAGAGGTTTCACATGAAACGTTTCAAATGAAACATAATAAGGGTAGGACATTTTTGGTTGCCGGGATGTTCCAGAAATGTGTCCAGGCTCTGTGAGAAACGTTTCATGTTTCTGAATGATTGTTTTTGACACATTTCAGACACATAAAAAGGTTTACTGGGAATTTTCATAAACCAAGCAGTAGTACAAGCATCACGGTCAACAATACTACGTTTGTGTTACACAAAAATTCGAGCCCCGCACTTACGCCAAAATTTATTAAATTACATGCCAAAGAAACTTTCATTTTGTTAAAATCATTCAGACTGTACAAATCACTACTTAATTTTAGTGCTAATTTTGGTTGGAAATTTTCTTGAAATTCCGCAAATTCCTCAATGTATTTAACGTTAACCTAATTGCTTGGTAATGCATATTCATTAACAAACTCGTCTGGAATTATCATAATTTTGTTATTTACCAATACAGACCTAAGATTTATGTAAATATGAGAAGGATCTGCCATGAAATATATATTTTTTTGATTCATCAGCTGGATTTAAAATGAAATTTTGAAGAACAATTTTTCTAGAATTAATGCCAAAATATATCCACATCGCCTGATTTGCTGCACCCAGATCTGTCGTAATATTTACAATATTTAGATTCGTTTTTGTGGCTAAAATTACTAATTCTTTAATGTGATCTCCCAATGATTGTCCACTTGTGGAATTTCCTGTAAAGTGATACGAAATTACTTGTTTCCACCGCCGCTGATGAGTGGCTATCGCTGTAGTTTTCCAGGGTTTCATATCCTAGTATGGTAGAGGAAGCTGTGCAGTATTGCTTGTTAAAGCCATCTTATCTAAATTTAAACAACAGTCTTTTTCATAGTCATTAAAATCTTTAACTTTTAAATTTTAATAATAAAAAATTTTGTATAATATACTTGGCTAGAATTTGATATGCTCTATTTTCCGACGTAATGTAAGCAAAGATGGCAATAAATAGTTTAATTTTAATAAAGACCCATAGCTTGAAGAATCACAAGAAAATTTAGTGGACAGCGCTTTTACTAGAGTCTCGAGGCTCCACCTCCTCATTTTTTTTTTATTAAAGTGCATTTGTAATTATTTCTTTGTTCATTCTAGATTTACCTGCAGTCACCAGTTTGTCATTAATTTTTAATTTTTTAAAATTTAAACTGTTAATTTTTTCTTTTAAACAACAAATTTCGTCTTCTTTCTGCTGCAACAAATTTTGGTAGTACTTTCCTAAACACTCCATTTGCGCTAATAATTATTTTTCAGTGGCTATTAAATTTTTATATTTTGTTCATTAATTGTTTGTTCCGGACTAACAATTTTAAATGCTGCTTTATCTTTAAAATCTTGGACATGAAAATACATATTTAGGTAAAACGTTTTCTTCTAACTTTATAAGTCGTAGTCGAAATCTTTTTGATCAAAGTGCATCTTAAAATATAATTTTAAAAATACAGAGGAAAGGATATTACAAAAGTAAGCACTTCACAAATTTTGAAGGTAGAACTAATCTTCCAATTTGGACGCCTCAAACTTTCCTTCCAAAATGCAATGGTCTTCTTACACAATGGAAAATTATATAAACGATATCCATCGTTTGCGCTGTTATTACAATTAATTAAACTGCAGTGCATTTTCAGAAAATATTTTCAATATTTGACATTACTTCAAAAAATGACAAATTATAGAAAATCACAGTGAAGTGGATTACTACAATTTTTTTTTTTTATGAAACTGAAAAACCTTTTGAGACGAACGTTCATGATAAATTTAACAATTTTGGCATACACGTGTCTCTGACAACCAGTCATATAACCTAAAATATTCTAAAGTTGAAACTGTCATTCGTGTCCACCCTCTTAAAAACATGTTCTGTCAAGGCACTCTAGTTTGTGTCAAATGATATTCCAACGCCTACTCTGAGTGATTTATCAATTGAACACCCCTTATTTCTGAAGCAAGTGTTCGTAGGTATATATCATCAGACACTGACAGTGTACCTGCTTGAGTAAATATATATCATACTCGGTTAGTTTTTGCCAATATATGACAAATTTACACATTATTTACTCCAAAATAAAACTTGTTACATACTGTTGATTGCATTAAAAACGTGATATCACTTACCCTTACTACAGTATTGCTGGTTGTCTAACTTTAGCTACCCTGACTGAAAATAGCATGTGCTACGTGTTGTTTAACTCAACAAACATTCTATTTCTTTTTTAAAATTTCTGGAAAATTAAGTCTCCTTTATGCTGTTTTAACCATCCTTGTTAAAATAAAACTTGGTATGATCAACATTATTTTCCAAGAATCACCACGAAAGCACGTGTTACATTTAATTAACGGTGTAAAGGACATTAAACGCACTTGGAAATGTTTAAAAATAAACGAACCCAGAGAGAAATGTCATTTTCTGTTCATTATCTGCTAAATAAATAAAATCTAGAGTCGTTACGATTATTCTGAACTTGTCAATATCAGCTAACAAATATAATAAGAGTGATCCTTTCTGCCTTTGAATAGGTATTATAGGCTGCGAAGATTTACGATTTTAAGAAAACAAAAAAAAAGTCGCCCACACAAACCGTCACTATTTTTAAGGAAAGATTTGTAATAAATCCATGAATCCTTGTAAAAATACGGCAAATATCAACTTATAACAATGAAATGAAGGACGTATTTAAAAGGAAAACCAGGTAGATTGCATTGTCCACGTGGTACACCTTGTACCATGTTCGACACGAAAAAATGTGTCCGACTGATATATAGTTCTACATCGCGTCTCCGCCAACTCTGACGCACTTTAAAACTTCCCAATTTAACTCCGCATTTGTCTGAGCAATTTGTACGTATCACGCGAAAAAATAAATATTTAAGCAAAGTGGTGCACGCGTTCTGTCCATTTATGCAACCAGCGCGACCTCTTGCTACTAGTTTGTAAATCTCAAAAGGCAGAGTGGTCAATGTTGAAGATGAGGTCGGTGTCTCGACGAAAATTGCTGCCTAATCGCGAGGGAATGGCATCGAAACAGGCGTTGTGAAATTGCTGATAAGGGATTTTTAACTCTGGTGCAAAGTTCAACGCAATCGCCTCCTAACCTATACGCTTTGGGCAAATCGCCTGAAAATAGAGTTTTACATGTGATTGGGGTGATACTAACCAAAAACGATCCGATGTTCAAGCGACGGACTTCATTTAAGGATATTATTCTCGGTAAGGGACGAATTTTCTTGCTTTTTATTAGCGAAAAACTTTGTTTACTGCTATCTGTCAATTTTGTGGAAGTGACATATGTGACGACAGCATGCGTGGCGTGGCGTTACGCAACGACGCAACCGTAACGTGGAACGCGGAAGAGCGCGATGGATTTAAAATCTACCGTTGAAACGATGGGTTTTGGGGAAAAGTTGTTTTTCTAGTTTTTTTTTATGCGTGGGAGGATTTTGTAATAAAAGTATGTGAAAGTTTAATAGATATATCTCGGTTACAGTATGCTAGTGATTTACCTAGAATTTTACCTGAACCGTCGTTTTCAGTTCAAAAGTAGGTAAACCCAGAGGCAAAAACAGGTATAATAAATACATAGAATAAAAGCTGGGCTACGGGACAGGAATTTCGTGTTAAGAGTGAGCCAAACAATGATTATCATTGTAGGTATATAATTATGTAATTACATATAGTCAAGGCATTACAAATAACTATACCTACCTATTATAATACAAGTGCGATAAAGTAATGTACTTTGACATACTAATTAGACTGCATGACGCATTTTGATGGTTTTTTGGGAAATTTCCGACTCGTTTTTCCCACCTATTTGAAGAAATAGCACAAAAATGCGCTCAGATTCGGTTTTATAGTGACTTTGTTCAATTAGCCCTATTTTAACGGACTTTCTTGAAAATCCAAAGTCGTTTTTCGCGTTTGTTTGAAGAAGTAGTACCAATGGTAGAGTAATAATGATTTCAAATTCGTTATCTACGGAATATCCTTTATCGTATTATACTTATTCCCTTTCATATTTAAAACCCAATTTAAAAGATTTTCTGGATGTTGAAACGTATTTCATTCGAAGAGATGTAGCAACAGTGACTTCAAATTCGAAATCTATGGGAGATTCTCTCGATGACACTATCTCATTTCCTTCTACTAAAGTCCATTTTTTTTAAAGTCTATCAATGTCGCAATGGTTGTCGCAATTTCTGCCAAAATAACATGGCTACGAATTTTCAGTGGCAAATAAAAACAAACTTAGGTTACGTTTCTTGTTTTGTCACTGGTTTTGTGACATCTGGAACCGTGGTACTTGAAAATTAGAAACTTAAAACGTGTAAGTTGGGTTCTTGGCAAGGCAATTTCATTCTATGACATGTGGTTGAATTCGAGGAAAGCAATTTGATTGACTTCTTGAGAGCAATTTACAATGCTAAAATTTTCACTGTCCCAGTTTTTTATTTCCACCGATGGTACTATATACTATATACTAGTACATACTTTCTGGCTTTCTTCCATCAATTTTGTGGTTGTTGCACGACTTTCATTAACCCAGGTCTTGATAGTGGATCATTTTCTGTTTAGAGATATGTTTAAATTTTGACTATTCTTGGCACTTGTACAAAATTCTGTTTTGACTTCACAGAGGTCAAGAACCAACATGTGATTAACTTAAAAAAAAAAAACGTACTTTAAGAAGATGCATTTTAGTGGATTTCTGGAAAATTCTTTGTAAATTTGATTTTTTTTTAATGAATAAATACTACGTCCATGTTAGGAAAATTTTGTTTTCCCCAATTTCACTTCGAGTTTCTCAGATATTTGAAGAAATACTGCAATAATGAGGTTACTTTCGTAATCTAGGGAATATTTTCTCTATCATAACGTCCTTTTCCGCTCAGTTATACTTATTTTGACGGATGTTTTCGCTTGTTTCACGAGGTATCATAAAAATGACTTCAAATGGATTACGGTTTATCCTTTACACATTTGTATTTCTTTCCACTTTAAAAAACCAATTTTAAAGATTCTCCGGATTTTTTAATATTTCAAATTACTTTTTCTCGCTTATTTCAAGAAATATTGTAATCATAGAGGTAGAATGAGACCTTTTTTTCCCTAGGAACCATGGAGGTAGAATGATCGTAACAGTCATTTCAGATTCCGTAGTCTACGCAACGTTGTCATTGTAAACCCATTTTGACGGATTTTTTGGAAAATTTTTGTAAATTTCAAATTCCTTTTTCTCAATTATATATTTTAAAAAATATGACAACAGCCACTTCAAAGACGTGATCTGCAGAATGTTTTGTATAATTACGATAATATTCTTTTGTACTTTTTAAAAGATTTACCGGATTTTTGCTTGTACATTTCAAACTCGTTTTTCTCGTTTAATTGAAGAGATATTGCAACAACGAAACTACAAATAGATAAAAAGGACTGCACACATACTTTGATTTTGCTTTTAGTTCATAGAAACGCAGTATAAATTAGAAAATATTGGAAGTTCTTTTAAGGATCTCCAAAATAGTAACAAAAGATTTATATATTTTAAAATTTTTAAAGCAATGGAAATTTCAAATTTTAAATATTTCACTTAGCGATGTCGTGAATACCTACTCTAAAATTCGTAAATTTTACTTTGGTTGTTAAATGTCCCATATTAATTGTACTTAAATGTTAAACTTAATTCTTTCAGAGTTTTCATAGTTAAGCAGTTAATTATCCTATGAATTCTCAGTGATGAAAAATCATCAATTTTAAAAGTGTCAAAAAAATAATTTAAAATTCCGTTACTACAAAAACCTAAATTTGGAAAAAATGGAAGGATATCTTGAATTTCTTGAAGTGCTGAAATCGACTATGTGTTCGGAAGACTTTACACAAGCGCCACCATAACATTAAAAAAATGACAATAACAATTCCAGGCATCAAAAATGTCGTCACCTCTTCAGATACTCAATTCACGAATTTTATCAAGATGGACAAGGTCTTAATTTTATCAAAACTATCACGCTATGAGTTTGAAAAAAGGAAATACAACATCGACAACGACCACGAACTCGAAAAAAAACTCAGAAACAGAGGAACCGACTTCGAAAAGCTAATGCAGTGCCACGTTCTACACAAAAACTTCGAGAAAAATGTTGTCGATACATTATGTAAAATGGGCATAAACGTAGAAGTTGTAAACCGGTAAGTCTCCAAATTGTCAATTTCCAGTTGCAACAGAATTTCATTTCCCAGATTCGACTACACAGACGAAAAAGTCAAATGGGCCGACGTAATCATGCCGACCGGTGGGGACGGAACTTTTCTCCTTGCTTCCAGCAGAATCAGAGACAACTCGAAACCCGTCATAGGGTTCAACTCGGACCCTAGTCGATCGGAAGGACATCTGTGCCTCCCCAAAAAATTTTCTGCAAATATTAGACGAGCCGTAGAAAAGTTGCAAAGTGTAAAGTTATCGGTTTTGTTTTTGAGTCGTCAATTAATCAGTTTTTGAAATGCAGGGGGATTTCGAGTGGCTGTTGAGGAGCAGGATAAGGATAAAACTGATAAGTCAGAGGGGGGAAGTTGTTCCGAAGTGCTTGCATGAACTGCAAGAGAATTACTGCACGGCCGTGGTCGACGGAGATCCGACAAACAAGGGCGTGTTGCCAGTGCTGGCCCTGAATGAGGTACTTTTTCAATTTTGTTTACGAATTTTGAGGGTTTACATACATGAAAATTAAAAAATTGTAGAAAAAGTGTGATAAAACAATTTGAGAATAGCGTAGTGGGATATCACATTCTATGTCAAAGCTGACAAGAAGAGCCTGAACAGTAGTATAGGCATATTCGCTTTTTAAGGGGTTATTTAATGTGAAACACCTAAATCACTTTTTTAATTAACGTGATATCATGAGATCAGTTAAAAAACACTCTAGGAAAGAGTTAGATGAACGTCTTAAAGAAAAATGTTATATTCGTTGGAGAGTTGAATTCCCACATTTTAGTAACGTAGAATCCACATCTCCATCTGTAAAATTACATATTTTCACAAGTTTCTGCATATCTGTTTGAGTTTCAACAGCATAATCTAATTTTAAACTGTAGTGATAAACTTCTTGATCTAATATTGACAAGCTTTCCCGCGAAGATTGAAGTAATAACTGGTAGGTACCTAATACGAGAACATCGATGATTTCCTCTGGAAGATCTCTACATCTTAGGCTTGCCATTTTCCTGGAGTCACCTGTACTAATTAACAAAAGACGTCAGTTTCCTTCAGTCAATACTTTAAGTTACAACTTAAAAAATCCTATTGTAACAGTGTATGTGAAGATAAGTTCTGTGAGATTCTCTGTACAATATTTGATCAATTAGTTTCACACCCGATTTTCAAGAAATCAAGATTTCCTTATTGTGCTCTAAAGGGATCAAATTTGTGTAATTTTTTATCGACGATCTTCTTTCATCTCTAAGCTGTAGAGTGTGTTTAATGACACAAGACACGTGTGACAACCAAAACAGAAAACCAAGAATTTATCGCAAAGTACACTTCAATTGTCCTCGTATACCCATGTTTATGGATGTGTTATTCTCAGATTATTTTATTTTTAGTAAACAGACATTAAAAAAGAGCATAAAGACTTGTTTTTTTTATTAAATTTCGTAGGTTTTCATCGGTGAGACAACCTCCTCCCGAGTTTCCCACCTGCAAATGAGGCTCAACGGTTCCATAGAACAAACCAGCATGAAGTGTTCGGGGGTTTGCGTCTGCACAGGCACCGGTTCCACGTCGTGGCACTTGAGTATAAATAGGATTCCAGCCCAAAGTGTGGCAGAACTATTAGAATTCATCGAAATTCCTTCTTGTGCCGATAAAGAGAAATTAGCCGAAGAAGTGGCCGACACGTACAACAAAAGTCTCATCTTCAGGCCGAGTATGCTGTACTAGGGTCGTATTAATCATTTGGGAAAGTTCAACGTTGTGGGGATAATAACCGTTTGAGTTTCATTTTTTTGACTAAGTAAAGGTTAGGCGGAGAGTGAGTTTCCCAACTGGTTGAATATACTTATTCCGAGTAGGGGTGTTAAATGCCAGTTCTCACGTTGTTGTTTGTTACAGATGATAAACGCATGAGCTACACTATTAGGGACCTGATATCCGCGGGGGTGTGGCCGTGTCCTAAGGGTATTAAACCTAGAGATTTCGTGTCGAAGTTAGAAATAAAATCCAATTGTTACGATGCAAGTTTGGTGGTGGATGGGGGCGTTTCGTTCGATTTTAACGATGGGACGATCGTCTTTCTTGAGATCAGGCCGGAGGACGCCTTGAGGACTGTTTCATTGACAGAGTGAATTTTTGTTTTGTATAAATAACTCCTTTAAGGTTGTAAGTTTCAAGCTCGGAGGTAGGATAGGAGCAGGTGTACAATATGTGTTTACTATATTCGATTGAATTTTCTTTGGTTGCAGCGAGTGCATGTATATTTTCTGACGTATTTTTTATTATGTACGCTATTTTAAAATAAACACCGGTCTACTGAGTTCGTTTCGGTGTTTTTTTTTAGTTGTCATATTATAATATTTATACCGTCACTGACTGGAAGGTGATAGGCATTCAGGCAAGATTTCAAGAAGTAATACTATTTAAAGGAAATACTGTGGGGAATTCTAATTCTCTCACTAGTGCTAAAGTGAAAGAACTTCTTGAATAGACACAAAATTTATTCAGAATGGTGTGATATACAAAACCGATGTAGAAAGGAAACACATACTGAACTTACAGCTACGTTAAATAAACTCGTAAAAAATAAGACGACTTAATCACATGGTCTGACTATACGAAAATGCACAAGTTAGTCTTATGGAAAGAACTCAGGTGCCCAAATTACTCATTTATATCACAGAAATTTTGATTATGTCCATTCAGCTGTATGTTTTGAATCATCGTTGTGTCAATTTTGATTAGTAAATGAGTAATTTGGGTAAATCGTTAATCAAAAGTTCCAATCTATTACAAAATGGACGTAAGCAACGAGGAATCCTTTCATTCTATACACTAAATCTAGCGTAGGTTCTTTGTACACGTGAAAAAATAATACTACAATAAAAGCCGTCACAGGAGACGTTTACCTACATCGATATATTTTTTTTTGGGTTTTTTGGTTTTCGTTTTTTCCACCCTGTCGACAGCCGTAAATGATCAAAAATCAATTGGACGTTTAAAGCCATTATAACTTTACAAGGCATAGAAGAAATGTCAGTTTCTACAATATACAGGGTTGTTTATATTACAGTTAAAGCTTAACAGCAACTTGAAACGTTCCCACATTTTTTACAGTGGCAGTTCTATTTTTGATATAAAACCGGCTACGTGAAAAATCAAAATAAAAGGAATTTTAAGTGAAGCGCGGCATCGGACGCTCGATGTCTTGGAAGTCGTGCCGCAGTTACGCTGCCGAGTTTTGTAGAGTCTCCGGTAGTTGGCGTCGGTTGTGACGTCGAGCGTCTTTTGTCGCGTTTGCGTTCGGCCTCCATTTTTCACGTAGCGTCTAAACATTAGGTAAAACGAATAATAAAGAGGACCTACCTAAGACAAAGGTTAAACTTTACAATACCCTAACAGCGATAATTTAATATAAATAAATTACAAAATAACTTTTAATAAATATTAAATACAACAATTGTAAACATTGTTTATACACAAACGCTTCAAGCGTATTCATAATCCTTTCACTGTAAATATGTTTGTATAACTATCTACTTAAGGATTTATAATAATATTTAGAATCCTTTATTTAGAGAAACTTTAAGTCACTTGAGTCGTAGATCGCGATATCGTTTTGCGCTAAGAGTTGAACCAAAATGGATGAACCTCGCTTCGCGTTGAGAAGACAGATGGCAGCACTAGCCTTTGGAACGCAAACTTTAGCCGAAGTGTCTCTAAATAAGGAGTTGAGTGCGGGAATTGTTGTTAATTTCTTCTATTTAATAATGCATAGGTACTTGTTGGCGGGATTCTGTTAAAGCATATGGTCCCTATCATGTTTCTAGATATTCTTCACCTCAGCTAAATCGAGTATTTATTAAAAATTTATTGTATAGCAGCTAGCATTATACTAATATAATGCTCGAAACACGTAACACCAATTTCTTTCAACATTTAAACATATAATAACAACGCATCTTGGAAGAATATTTCAGTTATTCTACGTACAAATAAATAATACTGACATCTTAACAAAAGGTAGAGACATTTTAAATTAAATATTATTGTCATTGCGAACCGAGAGAAAACAGACTAGATAAACGAGGAATAATTTTAATATCACTTTGGAGGTCTACCTTCTAAAGAATCGGAAGAACCCTTTGCCTTTCTCCGGGGGCGGGGCCATCAGCATTGGCACCTGGTTTTTGTGGGTGATACGTATCTGAAAAAAATCCAGCCCTAGTTAAGACACTTTTTTTCAGAAAAGAATAACAAATTGAACCGATCAACTTACTGATATTTTTAAAAGGACTTTTTTGTTTCCCTAAGGTGGAATTTATATTGAAAAAGTACATAATTTGGTCGTTCACATGACACTCGGTCGATGAGAATCTTTTGATTTACAGTTGAATAACGTACACAGTGTATGTTTTTAGTCAGAGATAACTTTAAGCCCAAATTGTTTCGATCGCCCGCCATCCACATTCATTCGCAGACATTCGATTGGAACACGTAGTAAGAATCACTTATGCATTTACGAGAGAGTGCGAATGCGGCTTTCGCTTGTCCCGCCAAGCTAAAAATGCCCTTACGGTCGTCGGCGGCTGCATCCACGGCTCCCCATCGATCTGCATAGGGAAAGTTTTCCTTGTTTTAATAACCACGGAAGAACACTGCGCCAGTCTTCGCCCGCTCGCCCTGAGCCCCGTCCTGACTTGACCCATGTGAAGGCAATTTTCCAACCCTATAACCTCAATCAATCCGTCACCGATATCTAAAAATATCTTTTCAAGATGAGATACACACACGTCACTCGAATACCTTGGACGGCCACGCTCAGGTCGACCGAGTTGAAACTCGACGTGCTCATTTCTTTCTGCCGTTTCTTCTTTTTGCTTTTCCTTCTGGACCCGGATAAGTGCTCGCCCCAGAGGTTCGAGCCGCCGTGAGTGTAGGGGATGTTGAGGAGGGCGATGCCCTGGAGCGGCGCGCCATTGGCCAGGTCCAAAGACACGTCGTCGCACTGAAAAAAAATCTCTGAAAAACTCTCGTCTCTTTTAAGAATCATCAAGCACGAATACGTAGGTAGTGTTGATGTATTAATAACTGAAAGACTTATGAGTGCGTAAGACTTTAATAATAATAATAGTTGATTGTATTAAAATTTACAATAACTTACACTCGTCTGAACACAAAACATCGTTTTTGAGGATCCGAATAGTAATTTTATCATTACTGTTTTAACTCAGTTATACATATAGTTAAAATATTTTTCTAAAGAATATCATGCATTTTATTTGATTTTGGAATTACATTATATTACAATGTTATTTCTAGATCTACTGGTATAAAGTTATTTTTTATTATATGTTTAAATGTATAGTTTATATGTCCCCTTGTCCTGTAATCACCTATATCTTACCTGAAATTTCCATGTAATCTTGGCATTCATATGAAATTCAAGAAATTTTAAAGACTCATTATTTTTATTATTATTATTATTATTAGAATCTCTTAAAGAAAATCATATGTGCTGCGTTTTGTCATTATTAGCGATACATTTGTTTGCAGCAAATCAGTTACCAACTGTGCTATCATTTTCTTTAGCAAGTTGCTTCAACTGATCTATGCTTTTCGTAGTAAACAGCCCTGTTAAAAATGCCCAATCAAATCCAATCTAAATTATTTTGGGATCGCCCAATATAAATTAGATTGGGTACGCCCAATCAAATCCAATCTGCGAGTAGTCCGCACGCCAATCGCACAAAGAAGGTAAAAAAAGGCCACCACAACGGTCACGTGGTACGCAAGCAAACATATTATCACTATTATAGTGAACAATAAAACTTTTTTAAAAAACAACCCTTTTACGCGGGTTTAAGTGTTAATATTATCCGAGAGGAGTATATTTTTGGGAAAAAATTCTGTGTTCGACACGATAAGAATTATGACGATAAGCATAATCAAAAAAATTGCATAAATATTTTCCTGTGTATTAGCAACCCCCATAAGGGAGTCGACGGAGAACGTAACCACCCACTTCGATGAGAAGTCGTAAAGAAACACATTACGCAACCATTTTGCATCCTACGGCAACGATACGGACCGTAGGTGCCTCAATATTACGTTTAAACGACGGTCACAGTGTCGCCCAATCTGGCCCAATCAAATACAATCCCAAATTGGGGGCGCCCAATCAAACCCAATCTGCGAATAATTCGCACGCCAATCGCACAAAGAAGGTAAAAAATGACCACCACAATGGTCACGTGGTACGCAAGCAAACATATTATCACTATTATAGCGAACAATAAAACTTTTTTAAAAAACAACCCTTTTACGCCGGTTTAAGTGTTAATATTATCCGAGAGGAGTATATTTTTGGGAAAAAATTCTGTGTTCGACACGATAGGATTTATGACGATAAGCATACTAAAAAAAAAATGAATAAATATTGTCTGCGTATTAGCAACCCCCATAAGGGGGTCGACGGAGAACGTAACCACCCACTTCGATGAGAAGTCGTAAAGAAACACATTACGCAACCATTTTGCATCCTACGGCAACGATACGGACCGTAGGTGCCTCAATATTACGTTTAAACGACGGTCACAGTGTCGCCCAATCTGGCCCAATCAAATACAATCCCAAATTGGGGGCGCCCAATCAAACCCAATCTGCGAATAATTCGCACGCCAATCGCACAAAGAAGGTAAAAAATGACCACCACAATGGTCACGTGGTACGCAAGCAAACATATTATCACTATTATAGCGAACAATAAACCTTTTTAAAAAACAACCCTTTTACGCGGGTTTAAGTGTTAATACTGTCCGACCGGAGTATATTTTTGGGAAAGAATTCTGTGTTCGACACGATAGGATTTATGACGATAAGCATACTCAAAAAAAAATGAATAAATATTGTCTGCGTATTAGCAACTCCCATAAGGGGGTCGACGGAGAACGTAACCACCCACTTCGATGAGAAGTCGTAAAGAAACAAGTTACGCAACCATTTTGCATCCTACGGCAACGATACGGACCGTAGGTGCCTCAATATTACGTTTAAACGACGGTCACAGTGTCGCCCAATCTGGCCCAATCAAATACAATCCCAAATTGGGGGCGCCCAATCAAACCCAATCTGCGAATAATTCGCACGCCAACGGTTGATTTTCATAAAATAAATGTTTTATCCAAGCGACATCGGCCCACACATTTATTGAAAAGCGTCGTTCGCACATTATGTCAGTGGCATTGCCGTAGGAGGCAAAATGGTTACTTTATGTGTTTCTTCACGAGTTCCCATTGAAGTGGCTGGTTACGTTCTACGTCGAGCCCCTTATTGGGGTTGCTAATAATATGCAGAAAATATTAGTACAAGTTTTTTTTGGGTATGCTTATCGCTATAAATCTTATTGTGTCGAACACAGCATTTTTCCCAAAAATATACTCCGGTCATATAATATTAACACTTAAAACCATTTTATTGTTCGTTATAAGAGTGATAATACGTTTGCTTGCGTACTACATCACCATTGTGGTGGTCATTTTTTACCTTCTTTGTGCGATTGGCGTGCAGATTATTCGCAGAGTGGATTTGAGTGGGCCAGATTGGGCGACACTGTGAATGTCGTTTAAACGTAATATTGAAGCACGAACGGTCCGTATCGTTGCCGTAGGATGCAAAATGGTTGCGTAACATGTTTCTTTACGACTTCTCATCGAAGTGGGTGGTTACGTTCTCCGTCGACCCCCTTATGGGGGTTGCTAATGCGTAGACAATATTTATGCATTTTTTTTGAGTATGCTTATCGCTGTAAACGTTATCGTGTCGAACACAGAATTTTTTCCCAAAAATATACTCCGGTCGGACAGTATTAACACTTAAACCCGCGTAAAAGGGTTGTTTTTTAAAAAAGGTCTATTGTTCGCTATAATAGTGATAATATGTTTGCTTGCGTACCACGTGACCATTGTGGTGGTCATTTTTTACCTTCTTTGTGCGATTGGCGTGCGAATTATTCGCAGATTGGGTTTGATTGGGCGCCCCCAATTTGGGATTGTATTTGATTGGGTCAGATTGGGCGACACTGTGACCGTCGTTTAAATGTAATATTGAGGCACCCACGGTCCGTATCGTTGCCGTAGGATGCAAAATGGTTGCGTAATGTGTTTCTTTACGATTTCTCATCGAAGTGGGTGGTTACGTTCTCCGTCAACCCCCTTATGGGGTTTGCTAATACGCAGAACATATTTATGCATTTTTTTTGAATATGCATATAGATGTATATTCTTGTGATCGATTCAGAATTCTTTCGAGCCTTGTTCTCGGGTAATAAAATGTTAACAACTTATACAATTCGCGAAGGGGGTGCTTTTTTCAAATAATTTTATTTTTCGTTATAATCGTTTCAATAAGCGTTTTATTTCCATAATAAATAATTATCTTTTACGGCATTTTATTGTAAATGATAACTCAAAGCCATTTTGGGAATCTAAACGAAAGCAAAAAAAATATTTATATTAGGGACATCAATGTTAGTGATAAAATAAAATAAAATGTTCCATTTGCATGTTCTAGCACACTCCAAACCTAAATTGTATTTATTACATCACATTTTGCTTTTTAGAGGTTTTTTATTGGTAATACACAATTATTTCCAATTTTCACAATCAAATCCAATCAAATCCAATCAAAGCCCTTAATTGTGTTTGCCCAATCAAATCCAATATAAGTTCAAATTGCATCCCAATTAACCCAATCAAACACAATCTGGTCCAATCTAACTTAGATTGGGTTATATTGGATTTGATTGGGCATTTTTAACAGGGAGAACTGAAGTGTAGTCTGCACATTAAAGGAATTTTTCTTGAGACTAATTAACAATATCATTAATATAAATCAGGAACAAAAAGGGTCTTAAGACCTAAGCCTTCGACAATAACTGGGGTGAAGTGATATTAGAAAGCATAGATAAATCAGAACAAAAATCAAGGCTCAGTTTTTGTAATAATATAAAGTATATCATGAGCATTGCAAACTACGTCAAAAGGCTTTGTCAAATCAAATGCAGATATCAGACAATTTTGTTTTGTTCAAAGGCATATCAAACTTTAGTATACAAACAACTAATTGCAAGCATAGTTGAATGTCCACCACGAAACTCAAATTGAGGAGTTTAAAAATGGACTTTCAAAGTGTTCGAGAACTGATTTTTTATCTATTATAATAACTCTGGATATAAATCGATAGTTACTGATTTCTCTGGCAACATTTTTTTTTTTAATAAAAGAAATAACTTCAGTCGGCTTTAGTTGTTTAGGAGAGATATTTTCACTTAGACTAATATTATTATTATCTTCGTTAATAGAACAATCATAACATTCAATATTGTTCTTATCATTATTGTGCCAATTTCACAGGATTTTTTAATTTTATTATAATCATCATATAACCCGTTCACGATTGTTTTAAATTCGCGCCATCTATAAAAATCTGACACTTTAGTTGGCAATATTGTGATTTGTCATAATAAATTTATTTTAGGTTATAAATGATGACAACTGAGTTCTGTTGTCAACAGTAATTACCTAAATTAATGACAGAATTGACAACATTACGAATGTTTAAAAAATAACGTCATATGACAGGACTGACGCTAAACTAACAAAAAAATATCTTGGCCTACTGCGTGTTTAAAACAATTGTGAGCGTCATATAAGGACTTCATTTTAATGTATTATCTAAAATTAAAACTGGAATAGTTATGTAGCTCTAGGTATAATTTAAAATTACTGTTTAATTTGACATTGTAACATACTTAAGGTGCAATATTGCACAATGTCAATACGTTACAAAACTGGCGATATCGAGATTCTTGATTCACCTTAGAAGAAGAAATCAACAAGAAATTTCAACAGCTTACAAAATCAGAAAAAAAATCTCTTCTACAGATTAATGTAGTTAAAGATCCTGCTTATATTATTTAACTTCAGAATAATTGAAACGAGAGACTCGAAGTAAGTTCTATAGATCGCTAATGGTTCTCTTTTTGCGTATTTGATTTATAACAGCGCCCACAAAAGTACTATATCTAAAGCGCAATTAACTGTTAATCATAGAGACAAATGGATTATTGGTTTCTAGATATACGATCCATTTACTAGCGACATCACAAAGCAGTTATTTCATTTATTTAAAGTGTTTGTCTCATTCTCAACAACACGAAAAGTTTTTATCTTGTGAAAAGTACTTTACTTATACGGATTATTATTGTATTGGAAAAAGATTCTATTTTAATATCTAACTTAGCTGAAGTTTTAATCAAAAAAGTTTTGACACAAATGCAGTTTTCTCGGTAACACCTCATTAATTATATTGGTCACATCAACGATAAGCTAGTTATTTTAAAACATAATAAAACTTTGGCGAGGTAAATTGGCTCAGAATTAACTTTCTGTTAAAAAACTAGTTGTGCTTCGATTGGAAGTGAATTTTCGTTCTTTGTGTAGATTATGTGTTCATTTTTGAGAAAATTGCAGTACATTTGAAAGCTACATACAATTCTGACATTAGTGACATTTGTAAAAAGAAAATATAACCCAATATAACCTCAACCAAAAAAAAGATTATATATAAACTGCGCGTCAAAAGTTAGGGATATCGAAATTAATTTAATTTAGGCCTACTCAATCAAAAAACTAATCATAAACATGTCTTGCATAAATATCTTTAACTTTTGACGCGCAGTTTATTTAATAAGGGAATTGTTAAATGTAGTTACAGCAATCCGCTGTGTGTTAGCGAAAGTCGAAGATCAAGTGAGCGTTAAAGGAAAGAAAACCTTTGTTTAAAAGCCTGGGATCTAGTGCAGGGTAAGTAATGTATTATGTTTCTGTTTATTTTGTTACTATAGTACTCTTGTGGATTAAATCGATTTTACTATCGCCAACTGACAAATGTGACATATGGTGGAGGCGCCGGGAAAACTGCTCGCAAATTTCTAATATTACTGTGCACATTTTGATCTTAAAATTAGATTGATAAAAACCCAATACGTCAAAAATAACATTCCGTAAGTGTTGCTGTAATGCTGTGATATTGGTAATTCGCTCGAGTATAGCTCGAATTTTATGTCGAATTTTATGCATTTGAATAGCATAGAAACATATTTTTATAGTTTTTAATAAAACTATAAGAACATTGTATAACCATAAGGTCGAACAAATTCCTTTAGCAAGGGTTGAAAGTTATTATTAACAAATTATGTTGGCAACAACAACGCGCCCCGTGTTCAGTTTGACAGTCAATGCCAAGATCATTATTTTACAAATAAATATCATGGGATTTGTTTTTCGATCATATGGTATCATTGCCACTTTTCACTTCTGAAAATTTCCAGGTCAAGTTAAAATGATCGTTTTTTTAATTCAATTAATTAATTGTTTTGTTCGACTAACTCTATTTTGGGCGAAAAAAGTGAGTTAATTATTTACCAAATGAACTGGAGCTTTCGCAACCTAGTTCACAAATTACTGATAACTCTAACGTCGATGAAAACATTAATTTAAATTTAAAAAGGATCACCACTATTGACAAATACGTGGTCATATTGTAAAAAGTAGTAAGGGATAATATGTAGCCGAATTAACACCGGACCAAAAACGAATTTCTAGTCGAAAATAACGCATCTCAACCCATGTTCCTTGTGATAATAAAGTTAGAAGCTTTTCGTCTTTTCTTTTTATAGTAAAATCAGTAATTCAGGAATGAAAATAGAGCGTTTATAGCTATGTTATTCACGAATTCTAAACAGAATTTATTGTCATATTTGCTGGTTATCGGCTTAAAGAAACCATAGTCACAAGATTTGATGACTGGATACATTTAAATTAAGCCATAAACAAACATGAGTAAGATCTGAGCCATAATGAGTCTTGTATTATTTTCGATGGATGAATATTGAATTAAATTGGTCATACACTTCAGGCCAGTCTTCAATTTATATACCTTACGTGGAAGTGTTAAAGGTCCTTTCAGCAATTATTATATTAACGTCTAAACAGATACCGATGAAGCTAAAGTCAGTATGAAAAGTTTAGAACGGTGTTAAACATCATTAATTATGGTAGTAAGATTTTGTAGAAAAATATTAAAAAAGTGTCAAACATGTTTAACACTTCATTTGGATATTAAAAATATAAAGGACGAATTTAATTTGGTAAAAATTGAGGCAGAAAGGTTGGCAAGAGAATTTCTTGTGTTGATGCGGTTGGTACCCTTTTCTAAATACAATCAAATGAAGAACTGTTAAAAGTAAACGTTTTCTTAAAGCAATTAATATTATCGTGGCACAGTTAAGAGACGAAAGTTTAGGACTACATCAGATTTACAGATCGGATAGGATGTCATGTCAACTACCTACATCTTTCCTTTTTGTCAATACGATTTCAAAAATGATATTTTAGAAATTAACTTCTTAATGGAATTAACTGATCATATTTTATACTTATATTGCATATGATTAGGTACTCACTGTACTATTCATTAAATTTATAAATATGAACACACCGCATGGTATGAAATACAATATCAAACCGCAATCTCTGACAAAATAACTTGCTACTGCGTTTTTTTGGGCACTAGTAATAAAATAAGTTAACAAAGTTGCTAGAAAAACAAACACAATGAAAAGTGACTGCCGACGCATTAGCTTTTTTGTTCAACTTTAAGTTCGATTTTCGCTCCACCGCTTCGACGTTCAAACAAGTAAAATTTATCCGCCACTGCCCCACATACACCCCGTCGACACCCAAACAACACACAGCTCACCATAATTTCGATATCTTCGTGTAAGTTCTTGCACGACGCCGCAAACTGCTCCGTCGTGGCGTACTCAAAATACCATAATTTATTTTTCATCCGACTATTGAATTTCTCTGGATTCTTCTCCCTCTCAAGATGAAACTTCACACAAATTGCCGCATCCTATCAAGTTCGTATCGCAAAATAAATGCACAGAGAAAAACGCGACGCTGTAAGGAGCGCTCTACTTACCACTCCGACCGAGAAATAGTTGTTGATTATGTTGTAGGGGATCCTGGTGTCTTGTATCTTCTGGTCGGGGTCTGGCTGCGACGTGTCGGACAACTCGATCAACCACCTGTCTAACATGACGGGGTGTGCTCGCGCTATTTTGTGCAGTATTTTGTGAATCGATTCGCCCTCGTATCCGCCGCCCCATCGCAAACACCTTGCCAGATCATTTCCTGTCCCTAAAGGAATAACGCCAACAGCTGGCTGACATTCTAGTTCCACTTTGTCTAAAAATAAAAATGATAAAGAAGACGGGACGGAAGCGGCGCGGGTCGAGGCATTTCGCTTTTCGCTACTGTGTCCGGGGAAGTGGACGGAGGGGATTCTGTCTTAATACAAAAAAAAAACATATTTGAAACTATATTGTACAAAAGTTAAGTTATTTGAAAATAATGTGCTAGATTTATGTTAAGTTTTTTTTTTGATCTTTCGACAAAAAGGCTTCCAAGACCAGACAAGTTTTTCTTCGGAAAATTGGGGGATTAAAAAGGTTGGTCGTTTAAATACACCTCCTTTAATTAAACTTATAGCTTAATGGCCATTTTGCAGTTTATTTGGTTTTATTATCAAACATAATATCTGCAACTGCGGTAAATTTGTAAAAGTGGGCTATTCTTCTACTAGAGGTTAACATTGTTATCATTGTTATTAAAAGTCGGCTAACAGACTTAGGTCCAGTTATACGACAGTTCGATATTGACAAAGCATCTGTAATTTTAGATAGAATAAGTGATTTTTTCCGTCCGTCTTAAGTCTTGTGATCTTTTTGATCGAGACGAACACCTACCGTGCGGCACACATAATTTTTTTCTATGAGTACCTGAATAAGTTCTCAAACTCAAGTGCATTATCAAAAAATTTATGATGGGAAACAGAGAGCTGTAAGTTTTGTTGAGTTATTTCAAAAATATTTATCTCTGCGTTGTTTGTCAATTGAAAGTTCACAATTATTTCTTGGAACAACAAGTGGAAAATGTAGTAGACGAAACATTAATGTCAATACTTTTGGCAGCATGCCACGAAAGATCGCTAAATATTTGAAGTTGCTAAATCCTTGCAGGTACACAGGCCACTGAGTTAGAAGGACATCTGCTATAATGCTAGATAGTAGACACATGGTGGAGGGAAGGCAACTGATATAGCAGAAGAATATATTTAGAATTCTGTTGGAAACAGACTTCAATTATTGGCATCCAAACTTTTGCGCAAAAAGAAAAAATGGACGTAATTAGTAGGATTGATGTTATATTTAATAATTGCTAAGAAGTTGCTGTTAATATTGTTGCGAAATAAACCCATACGCCGTCCCGGTATGTCACCTATGGGTTTTCTAGTACGTACGGCGATTAGTGGTGGTGACTCAAAATCGGTGACGGCGGCATCCGAATAGATAAAAGCCTAGATACCGTGTCGGAAACCTTAATGGCGGACTCCAGAACAACCTCGAAGGCGGCGTTCGCGAATTTTCTAGAAGAACGTAACGCGGTTTAAATAGCGACCACCGTCGAGTCAATGAGAAAATTAAAGTCTAGTCAAACCCATTCCAGTCGAGTCGAAATTATTCGGTAAGTACATAATCGCTGTATACTTAGTCGTTTAATATGTATTACTGAGAAATAAATTCAACAACAATATTTATAATCAAAATAAAGTCGGAGACAAAACTTAGCGACAAAGTGGATTCGCAAGACTTACATTCAAATCTTGTCAAAGTTTTGAAGCATAACCACTACATTTATGTGCCAAAATAAAACAACATAAGTGACAGATTTGATGGAAATTTGAATACTCACTCAGTAGTATGCGCAAGGTATGCGAATTTTAGTAGATTTGTGACAAAGTGTTTTGTGTTTGTTTATTAATATTGTTTGACCGTCTTTTAACCTCATAGGCTCAATCTGAATGCAAAAGTTTATCCACTGTTATGTTGAAAATTAGTGTTTCATATTACCCGCCAATTTGATGACGATTGTGGCTAAAGTCAAGGTCTCTGTATAGATTATTATAGTACCAAAATATCTTATTTTGTTCCCCCACGCACTGTGTGTTTTTACTTCCCGACCGTAAGCTAAGGAAGTATTGTAACCGAGTCCATTGGCCGACGCCCTACTCTTGTTTTCTCTAGCTTTCATGATCCTTAGGGTACGAAGAAATAGGTCCCTCGTTTCTATCTCTCTATCTGTCTATCTGTCTGTCTGTCTGTCTGTCCGCCGTCTGTGCGGATTTTTATTAGGCAGAAACTACTGGATCGATTGTTGGCAAATTTTGTATGTACATATATTAGGAATATCATGTAGCTGGTAAAACGCTGACCAAAATTAGGCTAATCACCCCCACCAACAATTTAATGACGTCCGCTCATTATGTTGCAAATTTAGCATTACCGATTTTGTATGAAATAATATATTATACTTGTGGTTTACGAATCTTACCTTGATTTTTTTGTTATTGCTATATTTGTTTATTGTTTAATCGCTTGTTCTTTTCCAGCATAATACGCAAGGCATCGAGTTTATTTAGAAATAGTTTAGGATCAACACGATCAAACGCCTCTGAGAAATCGGTATACATTTCGTCACCTTGGACATGTTCATCTAGATTATTATACAAAAATTGAGCTATTGAGACTATAGATTACTTTACAGTTGATATTCGAGCTATAAAGCATTGATGGATATTTTCTTGGAAATATGGTGAAAAATAATCAGTTCAAATACTTTAGCTACTTTGTTGATTATTGTTATTGGCATGGAATTTACAATATCTGACATTTCTTTAATACTTGACAAACCTTTAGAAGTTTTCCAATAGTCCGAAAAATGGTCAGAGCTTTAAAAATGGATTAAATATAATTAAAGTGCAAAAATCATTCTTCAGTTTCGAGGTGAAAAAGGAGAAATAAGATCATGACTTGTTGTAAGGTTGGGTTTTAATTTAGAGAGATTATTTAAGACTTAATTTTTAGGCATATTGTTCAAAACCAGAATGCTGGAATGGTTGTTGGTTGTGAGATTCTAGTACCTGGTTTAGAAAGAGTCAGAAAGGTAAGAAACAAATTGATTAATCAAATTGGTCGGTTGGAAAAGGTACAGATTTTATAGCTCATCACCGAAGGTATAGCTGTTGGATTTTTCAATGATTTTTTTCCCTTTGGTTTTAGTTTAATATGTATAAATTTTTATATCTTTTTTTATTTTAGTTCCCAGAATTTTAAAAGACTCGTGACATTTCTATTTCTCCAATGCCTTAAACTTTGACCATGTTATATGCTTTTGCCTTATAAGTCTAATGATGTCTCGATTAAAACAAAATGGATGATCCAGGAGAGCCAGATTTTTTAGCAGCTGTATCAAATAAATTAATACTTTTGCTTCTTAGAACAGAATTGATGAACCGATTGTTTTATATTTTAATCTCATTAAGAAAATCTCAATTAACGCCCGCTGTTGCACAACACAGCTTCAAGTCCAAACCAATAAATTTTGTATCCACTTAACGGTTAGAAAGTTTTTTGATCGCACTGTAAAAAAAAGAGGCGTGAATTTGCTGCTGCATAAAAAATAGGTTTCTCACCCTCCACCACCTCCTCTAGCGAAAAGCCAAACCGCCTCTCGCCCTTCCCTCTCCCCACTTACCCATCGTCTCCAACACCCATCCCACCGTGCCGTCGCCCCCGCAACATATCACCTTGAAATTCGGCACATCCTTGAACATACTCAGCCCCTCCATCGGGCCGCCCCTCGCCAGGTTGTGCACTTGCCTCGGGTTGAGTATGTACTGGAACTTCCTCAGAATCCTCGAGCCCTGCCGCCCCCCCGACTTGGGGTTGATGAAGACCAGCAGCGGTACGGAGTTCGGCGACGTGGTGATTTGGAAGGACATCGCCGGCTGCTTGTTGGTGGTGTTAGCGAAGTTCCCCTGCAAACGTCAAGCTCAGACAAAGGCGCGACTATGGCACGGTACCAACGTTGTCGTGTCCATACTTGGAGCCTCGCTTCTGGAGAGAGCGCTGCCGGTCCAGCACGATGGGGCAGATGGCCGTCGGGGGGAGGATGTGGACGGCGTGCTCTCCCAGGCCGCACTCGGCCTTCACTTGCGCCACGCACTTGTTGTGGAGCTGTAAGGCGACGTCTGATTAGAGCGGAAGAGCGGGCGCAAAGTAAGGGATAAAATGATTACGCGGCCGGGAGCGGCTTCGGGGGCGGCGGAGGTAATGAATTAAAGATTTCGGCGGTAAGGCGATTTGGGTAGGTGTAAGGTGAGGGCGCCAAGTGATTTTTTAGTTAGATCAGTGGTTCCCAAACTTTTCAAAAGGGCCCCCCTCCTGTCGCACTTAATTTCTTTGTTTGTTACCTGCACTATCTATTATCAAGTTGTTCGCGTTTTACGAAAGTTTCCACCATGTTTGTACGCCCTTAGCGGCAGATGCAACGTTTATTCGATAATTTTATGCAAAGTATTCATGAGTACAGCATCGATGGTCCCAAGGCTATGACAAGACATCGATCGATCTATTCTTGTGGTCAATTGCGAAAAGTAGCTCCTGAAATGGAAAGTGTTTTGAAAAGTGTCATTAAAATAGTAATTTCATCAAAGGAAAGACGCTACAGATTAGAAAAAATTGTGAAGACATGGGTTCCTTATACATAAATATTCTTTATTTCATAGAAGTAAGAGGGTTTCGAGGGGTAACGTCTTGGAAAAGGTCTTCAGTTAAAAGCATAACAGAAGCCGAAAAATTGAACTATAAGAACCTGTTTTCCAATTCTCTTTGGCTTCTTAAGCTACTTTTCCTTGCCCATATTTTCGAACACCTGAATATTGAATATTAATCTGCAAAGCTGGGATGTTAAGATAAATGAAAGTTAAAAAAAAGATGTATGGTTGACCTTTACTAGGGAAAATGAAATTTGAGTCATTCCAGTGCTGTTAAGAACTTATAGGAAGTTTAGCCAACTACTCGTATAATATGGTTAGTCCTGAGCGTGTTTTTGTAGACATACGAAGTTTAAAATAATAGCTTTGCAATTATGCCATTTCCCCAAAGACATGCACAACAATTACGATTATACGGAAACAGAATCCGTCTTTAGATAATTTTTGCGATTTCATTAAAAATGAAGACTTACAGAAACATCAAACCATGGAATGTTGAAAAATACAAGAAAACTCTCAGTTCACGAATGAAGCTGTCAAGCATTTGGTTTCGTTTGCAATCATATCTATGTGAGTTGAGTTTGTCGTCTATGACTGCATCAACTGCTAGTAAAACAAGAGTGAGAAGTCGCCCCGAAATAATATAAGTGTGTGTATATCAAATTCTTTGTAATTTTATTTTTTATTTTTTATTTAAAAGTGCTATGTTTTCAAAGTTGGAGAATAGTGTTGTTTATGTTTCTTGAAAATCCTCACGCGACACTTTGGGAACCGCCGATTTAGATGATTTATTTTTTTCACTAGCAGCAAGCTACATTTAGTTATATCCCCTGCCATTTTCTCCTGTTTCGCATGAAGCGCCCCGACCGGCCCCCGCAACCCCCATATTTACATTTCCCCCCGCATATTTCCCACATTACATCCGAAATCAGCTTATTGCTAATGCATTCCCGGTCTCCCTCTCGATTTTCTATTTAATTTAACCGGACCCTGACATGCTGATCGATCCCGGCCCATCGCATCCCTCCGGCAAACTTACCGTAATCTGACACCATCGACAGTGCAGGCCCGTAATGCCCGCTTTCACCGGCTTCCGGCAGCGGGAGCACTTGCCTTGGCAGTTTCCCTCCACCCAGTGGTGCTGTAGCGTCTGGCTGGACTTCTTGCTTTTGACGTACGTCGCGATGCAGCTGGCGGGCGCCCGGTGGACGCACCTCTCGTGGACCGTGTATTTGCAGACTGCAAAAGCGGAAAATTTTGTGTTACTGTGCTGGAGACAGCTCGCATCCGATTCACGGAAGAACATTGCGACGTCATCGATTTACTGACAAGTTACGATATAGGATCGATTTTTATAGTTTACAGTGTTTGAACAATAACGTAGTTGACAAGTTAGTGTAATAGCAGTAGTAGTATACTCGTGTTTAGCCATCTTTTGTCACCTTCCCCTACGTCTCGTCCACGTGCGATGGACGTATCGCTCGTGGACTGTGTATTTTCAGATTGAAAAAACGGCAAGTTCTGTTTATTTTCGCGACGAACATGTGGCGCGGTGACAACTGACGATTTATAGATATTTATGAAAGGATTTAACGATGGACGTGCTGAAAATAGCGCGACGTATCGCGTTTCTTTTGTCCGGAGCCGAAGCGGGATTATTTGAGCTGGAATTATCCGGATTTGTGGAGGGTTGTAACTGCGGGGGAAGTTCTGGTGGGGCGGAAAATTACGCGATAATAGGAGTAGGTAGAATTGAAAAAACTATTCCAATTCTCTTAGTACATTTTAAATAATTTGTTGAAAATACAATCAAAAGATCACCAATTAGAGAACCAAATGCAGTGCACTGCACTCGCAATGTTCATGTCAGCAACAATTGAAGGTGTCTGTTTGCGTTGAAACTTGACATTATAGTAGAGCAAACTTAACACTGGCTCTTCTTGCCTTAAGCCATTGTGCCGCTAATAACTGCTACTGTCTGTCGAGCATAATATTTTCAATGCAATTCGGTACCTCCTTCTGAATCGTGTGATTCTTAACATTTTTAACTTCATTAATATTTTTTAAATGTAAGTATTAGCCATTGGGAAGTTTGTGATCTAAGCACAACTTGGCTCAGGTAGCTAACCAATAACGCTGAAACATCCATGTTGCATTTACCTGCGGGTTTTGAAAGAAAAAGAAATTGCAAACGTAAGTAGAACAACCCTATCAAATGCACCGAAAGATTTAGGTTTCCTATATATGAAAACCAATCACTGAACATCGGTGTGTGATATGTATCATATTGCCTTCCCCAAGTCCATATCAGGGTATCTTTCCGCTGCTCTACTCATTAAGCCACCTAACTGCTTGAATATCATTATGGTATCTAAAAGTCATACGAAGGAATTAATCACGAACGACAGTTTTTCTAGACGAAACGTGGATTTTTTGGAAAAGGTGGTAAAAAGTACTCCTGAGAAGATGATAGCCCTCAATGCTTTCAATAACTACGAAAAACTAGTAATGAAAAAAGGTTCCTCGTTATAAATGCAAGCGGACTTCAAGGAATAGTTCGTGACATGTAGCTATCTTCCAAAGACTCGAAGAACTATTGTTAATAACACCGGACAATGCTTATTACCATTTTAAAAAAGTCAAAAGAATTCCAACAGAATTATGGCCTAAACATGACATTATTCTGTGGTTGTAACTCCACAAGATTTCACTTCAAAGGCAGTTTCTTAGACCTGGGCTTTTAAATTTAGCAAAACAACATTCCAAGAGTACACCTACTTTATATATTGTGGGTGAATTAGCAAGAACATATGCCCATGAAATTTTAAGGCTTCCGCCTTACCACTGCCATTTTAATCCAATCCAAATAAAAATACAGGAAAAACATAGAGAAAAGTTACAGTGAATACTTGTGAAAGCGACGAATAAATTGGTAGTGACTGTGATGGTGAAAGTATCAGACACATTAACAACTACAAAACAAATGTTTCATTGTGGATAAATATTAGTGAAGTCTATTGAATAAGAAGTAATAAGTTAGTGTTTTTTTATTAAGCTTGGCTTAAACTTTGTGGCATGTACTTATTTTTATATAGAGTAACAAATGCATTACCTAGATTATGAGAATTTTCGTTTTTATGCGATAAAATTCGTAGATGACGTAAAATAGCAAATGTCGCAAAGTTTAAAGTTTTGCATTTAATAGAGTTCTTTATAGCCGTTTAGCATATAAGTAAATTTTGTTAGAAAGGTTTAACCAGTAGGTGTTCGTTTTTCGTTTTACTTTTTAGTTCGGTAAAGAAAACGGCGTTCCAGAACTTGTAAATACTTTGCTAACGATTGATGTGTGAAGGCTAGAGTTGCACTTTGATTCGATATTAGCAGGTATTAGAAGCACAATGATTTATGGCAAAAAGGCCCAAATCAGCTTGCTTTAGTATATTCCGTTCAAATTATACACTTTACAATAGCTAGTTTTGTCTAATTTTTGACTGTTAATTATTATTTTTATTTTTAATTATGCTATGTGTAGCATTCTAGTAGAACTGAAACGCAGAGGAAACGTGAAATTTTGTAGCATAATCACATACAGTACGGAACGACCCTGTAAAAATGAAAATTGTTGCTTACTTTTCGAATAACGACTAGCAAATGCGCTCTTATTTTTTTTATTACACCGAAAAGTAATATTAATTAGTTAAAATTCGCCCCCCGTCGCCGTCTCCGCACCCCGTAAAAAACAACACAATCTACATACTGCCCGCCACAATCTCGCATTCTCAGAACCGTCAAAACCCATTATCTCAACGTTATTCGCAGCAATCCAATTCTCGCTTTCATCCGCACCCTCTCCACTTCATAATCACATCAAAACCGCCACTAACATGTGCAACATAATCCCTTTTTTCCCAATCCGACGAGCATATTCAGGCAGAGATTGCAATATGCCGGTCTGCTGAAATGCTTCAGTCGCCACAGATGATTCCCGTCCTCCTTGACATTAGTGTCGAGTCCCAGAAGCACCAGCAAAGGGATCGTCGTTAAGCCGCCCCGCTTCCACTCCTCCAAAGACACGGTCCCGTCCGCGTCGTAATCTATTTCTATCATCATGTCCTGCAGGATCTGGAAAAAACCAGACAGGTCAGGGAGATCTGCGAATCTTTAGGGGACGGGCGGACGGACGTCAAAGGACGTGGCAGGAGGAGGGGCGGGTTTTAGAAAGGGACGCTGCTTCTGCGATCGAGATACGAGATGGATATTTGCAGATAGTGTTTACGGAGTGGCGAAAATTTCAAGTAGGTTGTTGGCGAAATTTTAATTATGGGATGTAGCAATGAATGTAGGACTTGAAAGCGAAACTTTTCTTGTTAAAAACGTTAAGATGAATGGTCAACAATCAGTTTTCGGCATTATAAATGTGGAAGTTAGTTACGGGACGTTTGACAAAGTGTTTAAAAGTAGGGTTTTTGGTTTCTACTGAGGCATAATAGTAAAGTGAAGAATGTTTACAGCGTAACTGACCAGATCATTTGTAATAAAATAATATTTTATTTACCATGTAGCAAGGTCTCCATCTGCGTTAAAATCAACCACATTTAAGAACATATATACATAGAAAGATATTTTAAATGAAATTAGTTTATTTTGTGCTTATCTGGTAAAGTACACATCCTGGACTACCATTTGGTACCTCGACAACTTGAGTGAGAAACATGGAAAATTTTCATCAAGATCTTTTTACCAGTGAAAAACCTTACAAAGGAAAGTACCAGTAGAATAGTGAAAAACTTGTCGATTACTATGGAGATTGCTCAGAAACTTCTACAGCTCAATACAAAAGAGAATGAAAGGAAAAACATTCTAACTTTAATGCACTACTGTACTATAATCGTCGAATAGATGCAATACCAAACTTCAAGCGATTCGATGTCCAATGTACGCTACTAAAATGAAGAGAAGCACGAGAAACACTTGTCGCATTCAAAATAATGAAAAACTCAAGTTTAAAAGGATAAAACAGCCCCAAATCGCCAATATCACAAGTACAGACAGCCCCATCTAACCACAACAAATCTACTACAAGAATGAGTCATACTCATAATGCTCGACGACCCGTGAATTTGAGTATACTGTAAAACCAGCTTCATGACATGTGATTTGTAGCTAATGGCAACAATAGGCTCAGTGTTTACTTCATTATGGGTAGATGAACCAACACAATGGGTCAATTTGGAGAATGAGATAACAGTTATTATAGCTGAGCTGAATTATATATGAAAGCGAGGTTATAAAAATTGTTCTCTCCCGTGGTTTATATATACATATATATATATTTTTTTTTCATTACTAGCACATATATTTAAGTTTTCTTCGATGATAATGTAAAAGGTCGGAACGAATTTAAGATCAAGATATCCATGAAAATCAAGTGGCCTGTGAAAAAATGTCAAGTCAGTACATTAAATACGGCAGCCTAGATTCACCATGCCAACATGGTTAATTATTTTTATTACCTACCAGTAGAAGAGACAACACCATTATTGGATAGTAGTGAAAGAATAATAATTACGTCGACACAATGGAACGTAAAATGTGTAAAAGAATCGATTAATAAGTACATGAGCATTTTAGCAAACACTCACAGCTTTTGGGCAAAGGAAACAATATTTTTATAGATTTATATTAGACCGGAACACTTGGTATTACAGTACCACCATTTAAAACTTTATCACTATTGACAGTAAGTTTTTTGTCGCGCCATACTATATTTCTATCATCTAAAATTTCCACAATACTAGCACGTAACCAGGTGTAAACAAAAAATTGGTCGAAGATTATTTCCACAGAATTTTCCTCACCTCTAAAGAACAGTCGAACAGATACCGCTTCGAAAAATTAGAAAATTTAACTTTGAAAATTTTTTGAGCTATGAGCTAAAGTTAATGTCCTATGTATTGATTGTTGCAGTATAAGTACAGAAGCATCGTATGTATATGTTTATAGTGAGTTTTTCCATATAATTTTTTTTGATGACGGCATAAACATTTTAGCAAGAACATGTAAGTATGTAAATTTGAATAAGTTCAGTGTACTGTATCAGTACTGTATCCTCAAATTATCGAGAAAAAGGGATGTGCAATAAAATATATTGCCCCATTTATTAATTGTTTTGAGTCACCTTGTATAAGCAATTCTAAAAAATATGAATGCACTGATAAACCACAAGTACATACTATTAATACTGTGCATATTTTAGATTTATTGGGTAAAATTTGGCGATGACATCAACTATTTTATTTGGGAGGCGATAAACGAATAAATTTTGATTAATGATTTATCATTCTTCCGATAACCTTAAAACGTTTATAAGATTACAGATTAATGGGTTTTACGATTTCAAAGTTAAACTATAAAATGTTATACAATTTTGTTTTTTTCCCACACAGATTCATTAACTACAAATAGAGGAGTATTTTATTTTATAAAATTTAAATAACGTTTACTATTGTAAAAGTTGGAGATGACGTCATATTAAAGTTGGTGGGGATAAACAGATAAATTTTGGTTAGTGTTTTGCTATGTGGTAGATATTCTTAATATGCATAAAAATTTGACAATAATCGGTGCGGTGGTTTGGAAGATTGTCTCTCTAATAAAAATCGACACAGACGCGGTCCGACGGCAAACAGACGGAAACGAGGACCTATTTTTTCGTACTGTAGGGGTCATGAAATGCTGAGAAAGCATAAAAATAGCCAGTCGTCGATACAATACTTCTTAGCTTACGCTCAGGAAGTAAATATTATTTCATTTTTGAAAAAAAAATCTAACATATTTCATTATATGTGAATAAGTAGTCTTAAGTCTACAGTACTTCAAATTTTGTTCTATTTAAGCGAAGCATTTTCTATTAGAAAATTTATTTTCCAAGTAAATGGAGAATAAATGTATAAATTCTCTTTTTCTTGACACCTGTTTAAATCCTGAGATTTTCATCTTTCCTTACTGTTAAGATTTGACGTTTTTGGTTTTCCCTTAACCTCAATCCATTCTGTGTCTTTATCAGATTTTTCATTGACAGGCTAATCTTTTATATCGGTTAGATTTTCACTCATTGATGACAGAACTCCGATCGTTTATTTATGTCTGGTTTTTGTTGAAAATTGTTAATTTATGTAGTACACAGAATGAGTAAATTGTTTTGTAAACTCCATTACCACCATCTAGTTCACTGCATGAGTTTTACTATTCAAGTTATTCGAAAGGTACACACACATTCAACGTTCTCTTACCTTAAGTAAATATTTTTGTAGCAGTTCTGTGCTTTGAGTCACATTCGAGTTTTTACTAAATTGCTTTGGAAAATTCTTGCAAAAAGAGGTTTTGTTTCTTCTCAAATTTTATTTAATTTTGTTATAATTCCCTTAGTCTTTAAGAATTATCTATAAACTCTTTGCAGATTAATGGTGAGGACTTTCTATATAATTGTCTATATGTGTGTTTTTAGATGCCATTACAATGATTATTTCTAAGTAACACCTTTCTTTCAGAGTTTTATAAACGTTTTAAAAATGCAAATCCTGATAGAAGAACTTTGATTTGTCTTTTGTTTTGTTGATAAAAATGGTATTAAAGTCGGTGGACAAAGGTGCAGTAATGTTGAGTAACCCCATATATGGTTTTCATGTGTGATGTAGTTTTGAAGTTTCTCAAGAGGAGGAAAGGAATATATTCCGTTCCAGGTATTTTTATTTATTTAGGGCTGCATTGTTTCTGGTCAGTACCACAAATAAACCTATGGCGTTGACCAATGGTCCATCAGTAAGAGTGCTCTGGAAGCGGATTAGCTGAACACTCCAGAAAGATACAACGTAATCTATAAATAGGGTGTCAGATCAAGATCAGTTAGACAAATAGTAGAGTGAAGTAGAGGAACAGAGTTATAGCTAAAAAGTGAGGTAATTAATTTTTATTAATAAATTATTATTATTTACTTTCCTTAGCTAAAATTTTAGCTAAACATTATCTATCAATAACTTTAATACTACTTTATGATCTACATATTTATAAAATTTGTTTTTATTTTGGTACGAAAAGATGCAGTTTTTTGCAGGTGGATAATATACGTACGTATAAATCGCAACCATATTTATATTCATCGAGATGGATATTTTTTCTTTACAACAAATAAAACGCACAAAATAATTGTAATACTGAATCATCGCAGAAACACCCCAAAAACTATTCAAGTTATAAGACTCTTACCGGCTTAAGCTCCGTCACGTCCCACCCCAGATACTCAGCAACAGTCATCATTTGATTGACGATGCAGTCCATCTCGTTAGTGTCCAAGACGCCATTTCCGTCGGTGTCGTACAACCGGAACATAACTGGAAAGTTGTTTGTAGTTCGTCGTCGCAACACCAGACGAATTTATACGTACACTCTAGTTTGTCTTCCGGACGCCCGGCCTCCAGAAGCGACAAGTAGCAAACGATGTCTTTCAGGGAGACTTTGACGCTAGTCACGTCCAAAGTACTCGCTTTTCTAACGATATGTCTTACTTCTGGAATGAATCGTAAAGTGAGCAGCGAAGGGTGAAGTCTCGAGGTGGTCGAACTCGAGCGGATGCATAAGAAACGTAATTTATGCAAATTGGGTAGCTAGCCGCAGAAGTGGAAGCGATGGCTTCGAGATTCAAAATTTCACGGCTTTGGTAAAATAAGTGTGCGGAATTGGGCGGTGGCACGATGGATGCAAGAGCGGAGGCCATCTTGGCTGCAGCGGATTTGCCGCTCTCTGCGCATATAGCAACTGAGGTGCAACTTATTTTTTGCCGCTAACATATAAGTTGTCGGTTTTAAAAGTGAACAAAAAGTATTATTTCAAAAGGCTTTTCTTCAAACACTTGAGGATAAAATTATTATTAAGACATCCAATTCTTGCAAGAATTATTCAATTCCTTCACTTCAAAGACCAAGATGGCCCCCAACGGCAGTGACTGTGACAATTTACAGCAAAACCCGCCTTTGCTACTGTGTATCAAACATAAACCCCTTCGACCACCTCATATTCTCCCCATTTCCCCACCTTCTAATTTCCCGTTGTTGACCAGAAGCGAATTGTTCGACTTCTTCGACGAGTTCCTTGATATCTGGCTGTGTGAAGGTGACGAGTCCGTACTCTTCTTCCCCAGCACTTCGTGGCACGAATACGACGTGTGAGTAACGGTCAGCATGGGGTGAACGGTGCCTGAAACTGGTGCTTACAACCCGAGCCGCCCCTCGTAAAACTCACCTGTTTTCCCTCTCGTGGAACAATCGCTGTCCGAACGATGATGGCCCAGCAGCTTTTCGCCGAATCCGTGAATCTTTTCCACCAGCATTTCGCCGTAAGTGGCCGTTTTCTCTCCCGACGGAAGCAGACTCTTGCTCTCGATGGGCTCACCCACGGAATTCACGTTGGGGGTGGAACCTGCAAGCAAGATTTGCTTGGGGGCGGCGAACTTGCGTCATTACGGAAGCTCGAGATGTGGTAACTAGTCCGGGAAAAGTGGGAAAAACGGCTAGAGGGGGCGTTGCGGGGCATTCTGGGTGGCCTTCGAGCATTATATTCAGAGTAGTAAAAGTTTTTGAGAATAAATCTTGAAGCAGTTCTATAAACGAGTTGAGTTTTAAACTAAATTTCTGCCATTTGTACTGCTGACGCCAGCCAATGGGTAAGTACCACTGATTCAGTCGACAAAAATGTGCAGAAAAAGTGACAGAATAATAATAAAGCATATTCCTGTTAACAGACGTCAAAATATAAGTGATTCATCATTTAATAGTATTAGAAAAGAATAGAAAATTTTCCTGAGTAGTAAAACTTTAATCGTCTTTTGAAGGAATAAAATTCGAGATTATCAATGCAATGTATTTTTACACTTGCGACAATATTTTTTTAGACGTCTACTTAGTTACATAAAGAAAGGTGTTCGGATAAGAAGACGCAGCACAATAAAAGAAATTGTACTTATGGTTTTGCATTTTGTATTATTATTATTAATTATTATTATTTTCATTTAGAAGGCACTTAAGTGTGTACAATAATTGTAAAATTGTTACATTTGTAGAGATTCGTAAAGTTTTTCATGCGAGAACTGTAAATTACGTATGACAATAATTAGAATAATAAGTTATCGAGATTCAACATCACAGAGTTCTTTCCAAGAAAAGGCTTCTAAGTGTTTAAAAATAAAAATAGCAACCCTACTATGCAAAATTATTTTCCTGCAAATGAAAATAATGAGAAATAATTACCTAAAATTACTTTCTATAGTTAAAAATAAAGCATTCCAATTTGGTACACAAATCAGTCAGTTATAAACCAAACATTTTTTGTCGGGATGCTAAGTTAACTTATCAGCAAATCTGGCCACTAGAAAATTAATTACATGAAAATTTGGGCAAAAAAACAAGTTGACACACTTTACCGCTTAAACCTTGCACCTAATTTTCCGGGATTATAACGCCTGAATTTAGAAGCAGACGTAAAACGCGAACGAGGAATTATCCCGGCGCATCCACCATATTTTCGTCGGGATAATTTTTCTAATTAATTATTCAGATTTGGAGGGCCGTGATACGCGAGGAAAACAAAGAGCTGGGGGCGGGGAGGGGCGGTTATGAAGTGGAGGATAAAAATTAAGCGCAATTAGTGGCAGAAATGTAATTTGATGAAGAGTTGGATTTAGCTCTCCTTTCAAATTAATTATTCACTCGCGCAGCTTTGAAGTTGGGAAATGCTAATCTCTGGATAAGGAAAAAAGGGAGAGTCATATTTTTGTTGCGTTCGGATTTGAATTGTTTATTTGGTGACGTCTTTGGCGAGGTCGGCTTTGCCGGGTGCCAAGGAGACATGCATTATTAATGGAAAAATTGGATGAAATTATTAACTTATGGTGTAGTGGGACATTAGGAAGTTATGAGATCCTGAGGTAGAGAAAAATAGGAAGTTGGGTTGAATAGTTGACAACAGCGGTTTCATGTCGAAGACTAGTAGGATTTGTATTAAATTTGCACAATTTTTTAATAACCGGATCGTCAGTAGAGGTTTACAACCTGTAGGAATTGCACGATCTCTTGAATTAACACTATTTGTTTTTTCTTTATTTGACTACTTGAAAAATTTTTTAAAGAACGCCTAGTTTGAAAAAATATACTTAATAATAAACATTAAAAATCTTTATTTATTACACGTCTACTTTCTAACTCATTTTGTTTCACGTTTGTTTCTATTTGCACGAATTTTAAACAGGAATTTAAAAAGGGTCAGCTAAAATTTATGCAAAGTTTACAGTAGGTGCTCTTATCAGTTTAGTACGCAGTTAAAACGAGGGATTAAGGCGCTCCTGGTACCAGATATGACCTTGGACCTGAGTTGATAATCGCCTGGACTACTCAATAGCGTTTAGAAGAATGTCCCTAATTTTATTGTTAGCTAAAATTACTCCTATTTAAGTACCTTTCACTGAATTATGTAGACTAAATAGACATTTCCTTGTCTACATTTGTATGTACCATCGGTGGAAATAAAAAACTGGGACACTGAAAATTTTTGCATTGTAAACAGCTCTTTAAAATGTAATTCAACATGAAATTTAAAAAATGTCACCTTGATTAATGTCAAGTGCCAATTCAAAAATGCCAAGTTTGAATGAAGTTCAAAAGCAAACTATTGCCCAACGTTTAAGGGATGGGGTCTCAATTAGAACAATAGCAACTGAGCTGCATATTAGCAAGAATACTGTCCTACTGGCGAAAAAAAAATTAATGAATATGGTAGAATTATCAGACGAGCGGGGTCGGGTCGTCCAAGAAAAACGACTGCAGACGAAAACATTCAATTGGCAAATTTCATTCGAGAATATCCTTTCGAAACAGTGGTTAACGCAAGGCAGCAAACGAATTTCCCTGCATCATTGAAAACAGCCCGGAAGAGAGTCCACGAAACTGAATTAAGAAATCGGGCTGCTGCCAATAAAATATTTTTAACTGAGCAAAACAAGGCAAATAGGGTATTATTTGCTCAGGAATTTGTCAATGAACCTGCAGATATGTGGAATAATGTGATATTTTCCGACGAAAAAACTTTCAAATCATATAGTAATGGGCGTCGTCGTGTCTATAGACCCCCAGGAACGAGATATGATGAAGGCTATTGCAATAAATATAAACAATCCGGTCGCTTTTCCGTTAATGTTTGGGGGTGGGTTAGCAGCAGAGGACGTGGAATTTGCGCAATAGTAGAAGAAAGATTAAACGCTAATGTATACAGAAGGCTTCTAGAGGAACTTATGCTCCCCTCAGTAATACCAGTTTTTGGAGAACGAAACTTTATATTTCAACAAGTTTGTGCTATTCTTCTTTTCATTTTTTTTTTTTTTTAATAATTATAAAACCCATTGCAGGATAACTGTCCAGTTCATAATGCCCGACTGGTAAGTCGGTATTTGGAAGCCCAGGGAGTGAATGTTTTGCCTTGGCCCTCTAGGAGCCCAGATTTAAACGTAATTGAAAATGTTTGGGGAGAAATGCAAAAATATATTTATCAAAATGATTTTCGACCTAGAAATCCACTAGAATTACAAGAAAAAATTGTCGAGGCATGGGAAACTGTAACACCTGGATATATGAGGCAGTTAATTGCTTCCATGCCTCGTCGACTACAGAATGTGATCGATGCAAATGGTGCAATGACAAAATACTGATCAGTTGAATTGGCATCTTCAGTATAATGTTTCTAGTTATAATTCCAGTTTTTTATTTTCTCTTGAATAAAGTTACGTTCCTAATTTTACGCTCTCGTTTACGCCTTTATCTTTTCGACTAATTTCTTGAAAACAATAAATAAAATATTCGAAAATGTTCCACAAACCTAATAAATAATATTTTTGGCAGGAAAAGCCCAACTTACACGTTTTAAATTTCGAATTTTCAAAATTATCTAGTTACCTATTGTGTCCCAGTTTTTTTTGTCCAGCGATGGTACATGTGTACAATATTAAAAAAATTCGTAGAAAATTTAGATCATTCTATTTTTTATTTCAACAGACCAGTAAATGAAGCATGAAAAGTACCTCAGACAGCGTCTGATCACATGTTTGAACTGTGTTTTTCGACTAATTTAACTACAACCCTGGGAGACAAAATTACAACGCCAATGATACTGTAAAGATTATTACCTTCATAATAGTAAAGTACAAACAAAAATCGTCGAAAAACATTTATTTGAACAGCTCTTTACTTATTTCGCATCGTGAACTCAATGCCTTCTTTCCAGCCAATTAACCCCCGTTAAAACGTTAAAATCTATTAATTCTCCCCCTCTCGTCGCGTCGCCCCACGTAAAGATTTCATTTATCTCCTCTCCATTATTCGGCGATCTCCTCTTGTAATACAGCGAAAAGAGGGTAAGGCAAAGGTTGGACCGCACCGAGTCGGTCTTGTTTACATTTCGCAGTAGTCGATCCAGCCATCATCCATCCGCCCGAGTGGTGAGACGTTTTACGAGCAATTTTCGGCGGAAATTGCTCAAGATTATGATGTTATTAAACCTATTCGATTTAATGGCCTTCTTAATTACGGAACTCTCTGTTTGCTCGTTATGCTAAGTAATATGAAATATAATTAGGATCGTATTGCGATAATTGATTCCGAGAGTCGCAAAGCCGCCTGTGTTTATCACACCCTTTATCGTTACACAAGTTCGCTTCCTTTGACTAATCTTTCTTGTTTGCGACACCCTTAAGTTACGCTTCATTAGACGGTAAGTGGTGGAAATGGGCGCGTACAGCCGGAGCGAATTTAATCGCGGCGAGGGTGTGATCAAAATTTTTGACGGAAGACGAGGGAGATAAAGAGACGAGATTTGTTTAGAACGTTGCCTTCGGAACGTAACTGGTATACTCATAAAACAAAGAAGTTGCTTCGATTGGCAATGTGTTAAGGAACGTTACAATTATTTACATTACTAAAAATAATAGGTAATCACTAATTGGGTTACTTGGTACAGACACAGTTAAGGGTTCATGTAGAGAGCACGAACTTAAGGAACAAAATTTTTATTTGGTGGGTATTTAGACAGCACTTCTTCCGCATCTGAAGTATAGTCAAACAAGTCGATTTTTTTAGATAAACTATAAAATATGTAAATTTTCGTTAGGGTTTTACCTTCAACACGATACATTTAAACACGCCTAAAATTTCACAGCAATTACACGGGAGACCTACTTTTCAGACTTTAGGTGTCACAACACGTTGAAAATACATGAAAGTAGCCGTTCACCGGATGGACTCTATTATAATACTTCCCTACCATACGGGCGGAAAGTAAAATATAAAAATGTTTTGATGTCACTTTGCGAAATGGGTTTAATGGTTTGTTTGTCTGGCAATACTGGAAAATAATGACACGTACCACTGTAAGGTCAGGGGTGAAATTAAATGCACTCTCGGATTTGTAATCAACTCGTTTAGATAATTATTCTGCAGCGGTAGCAAATTAATTTCGAGCGAAATTACAAAGTTGGAAACAAACTAAAAACTGAGTTTTGCTAACTGGTAGGTACAGAGAGGGTTATTTTCGACTATATTAAAATTGAAAAGCACGTAAAAATGTCTGTAATTTATTGATAACAGATAGTAGCTTATAAATTGTAAATTTTGTCCGTCCTCATCAATAATGACCATACGTTTAGAGGTTTGCGTGTATCTCATATGAATGAGAATGCAAAAAATTTACGACAGGCCTTCAAAAATAAGATACGTTAAAAGTGATATAAGAAATGCTATTCAAATTAAGGAACTATATAAGACGTATTGTGACGACTTTAAGAAATGAAAATCCATAAAAGTTGTTTATGTTTTCTTTTCTTGCTTATTCGCAGATCATTGGAATCTATAGCTAATTGTGCTTTATATTCAAAGGATCCTATAATACACCTTTTTTATCTATGTTTTTACTTCCCGAGCGTAAGCAAAGGAAGTATTGTAATCGAGTCCGTCGGTCGACTCTCTACTTTTACGTTTTCTCGATCTTTCATGACCCCTAGAAGACGAAGAAATAGGTCTCCCATTTCCGTCTGTCTGTCCGTCTGTCCGTCTGTCCGTCTGTCCGTCTGCCGTCCCGGAATTTTATTAGACAGATAATCTCCGAAAGTACTGGACCGATTGTTGTGAAATTTTGTACTTATATTAGGAATATCATGTAGATGGTAAAACGCTAACCAAAATTTGTATAATCATCCCCACCACTAATGCGATGACGTCACTTCAAAATTGTACATAGTAAATGGGTCTCAAATTGTATAAAATAACATAGTCCTACACATGTAGTTTACGACTCCGAATTCAGTTTTTACCCGAAACATCCAGATTTTTGGAAAAAAAATCAAAATCATAAAACAACATTTTGAAATTTAATTTTGAATCTGCTAACCCGAATGTTTTAAAATGTTGCAGATGTTTTAAGGCTCTAAAGAGCATCATAAATCTTTCGTCAAAATATATTTGGTTATCCCCTCCAAAAACTTAATGACGTCAGCTCAAAAGTTTGCCGAATAAGTCCTATCTAAAATGTACAAAATATGATGCGTCTGTACTTGTGATATATCACTCCATTCATATTTTTTGGATTTGCATATACAGGGTGACTCAAAAAAATTAATGAATGCGCAAAATTTATTTTACTGATTTACTCAGGAACTACAAAACCGAATGCTTTGAAATCTTGAAGATGTTTTAAAATTATCATGAGCATGGTAAATTTTTGATCAAAATGTATTTGGTCGTCCCCTCCTAAAAAATTTATGACGTCACCACAAAATTTTGTTGAATAAATCCTATCTAAAATGTACAAAATATGGTGAGTCTCTTCTTGTCATTTATCATTCCATTCTCTTTTTTTCGATTTGCATATACAGGGTGACTCAAAAAAATTAATGAATGCGTCAATTTATTTTATTGATTTAATCAGGAATTACAAAACCGAATGCTGTGAAATCTTGGAGATACTTTAAAGTTATCATAGGCATGGTAAATTTTTTATCAAAATTTATTTGCTCATCCCCCCCTAAAAAAATTGATGACGTCACGCTAAAATTTGGTAAATAAATCCTATCTAAAATGTGAAAAATATGATGAGTCTGTACTTGTGATTTATCATTCCATTTATATTTTTTCGATTTGTATATACAGCGTGTCTCAAAAAAATTAATGAATGCATGAATTTATTTTATTGGTTTAATCAGGATTTACAGAACCGAATGCTTTGAAATCTTGGAGATGTTTTAAAGTTATTATAAGCATGGTAAATTTTTTATCAAAATCTATTTGCTCATCCTCCCTAAAAAATTGATGACGTCACCCCAAAATTTTGCTGAATAAATCCAATCGAAAATGTACAAAATATGATGAGTCTGTACTTGTGATTTATCATTCCATTCATATTTTTGGATTTGCATATACAAGGTGACTCAAAAAAAATAATGAATGCGTGAATTTATTTTATCGATTTAATCAGGAATTACAAAACCGAATGCTTTGAAATCTTGGAGATATTTTAAAGTTATTATAAGCATGGAAACTTTTGTTCAAAATGTATTTGTTCATCCCTCCTAAAAAAATTGATGACGTCACCCTTAATTTTTGCTGAATAAATCCTATCTAAAATGCAAAAAACATGATGAGTTTGTACTTGTGATTTATCATTCCATTCATATTTTTTAGATTTTCTTAAGAGGTGGCTCAAAAAAATTAATGAAGTCAATTTATTTTATTGATTATATTAAAGGCAACACTTATTATTAGTATTACATTGGACCAACCCAATTTGGTAGACACAAAATTTTTTAAAGCAAAAACTCGGTTGAAACATAAGGGTAGCACGCTTATTTACATCGACTTTAACATTACAGACGTGCATTTGTTTTATGCGCTGACTATAGGTTCCGCGAATGTGGAATAGACATGTTTATAATCAACCAATTGTAAATTTCACCGTCAAAAATAAAAATAAAACCCAATGTTTTATATAATAAGCGGAAGTCGAAGCAATAAAACCGATGGTCGTTTTGTTTACAGTTTCTCTGTTTGACTCTCACGTATGCTGTTACGTTTGTCATCTTAAATTAAGAATGTTTATACATAAACGATTTTCATTTGCCGTATACGTGAGTAAATTGTTTCGTTATTTTATTGATTATAAAAAATCAATATTCAAAACGACCCAATTCATTTTCCCGAAAATTTGGGAATACAATAATTTTATTCTTAGTATTACACTACATCTATCCCAACTGATATACGTGTCCTTGCAAAAATGTTGATGACGTCATCGCAATTTTTTTTAAATTCCCACTACAAAAATGTAATGAGAAAAAAACACAATAGGCATGCAGTCGTCAAGTTTCCGACAGCGAGGGAAGTACTGTCTAAACTCTTTAGACCAATTTTTTGTTAATGATGTGGTATTTTATAAATTGTTGTAATAGTTCTGCATTTATTTATTATTATTATTATGATCATTATTATAAGATCCCGAACAGTGGTCCATGGTTAGTATAATTAATTAGTCCTTTCCTTTGTTCTATGACGACAAAATTAATCAAATTTCATGTTCTTTGAACACAAATGTATACTCCGCTGATGATGGTTATCTGTACGTGTTTAATATTCGAATTCTTTCGGAGTATAAACATAAAAAGTCGAAGTTAAGCGCATGTACTGAGAATAGATTTTTTCCGCTGCTACTGTAAGTATATTTCATAGTGTCCGCACTTGTGCGGACACTATGCGCCCACTTATAATTGGCGTCGCTGCCGTTCAAGGGGTGCGAGGGTGTTATTTACGCCACTGGTTTTTACTTTTTAAAGGTTCACAAAACGAAAATCGCAAAATCACATTTTATCATTTTTCAAATGATCCTTCAGGGAGGAGGAAAATTCTTCGACCAATTTTTTAAAATCATTTCAATTTATTCCGTCACATAATAAATTTCCTCCACGGTTGGTAGTTTTGCGATTTTGACAAATCAGTTGCCTCGAAACACCCTCTGTATTCATCAAAGATTACTCCAATATTACCACCAGCCCCAACTGTACACACTAAAATCACCCGAGTTGCGGTTTCACAACCTGACTTTTGATATCTCCCCTACAAACAATTAGGACGCAAACGGCATAGAATATGCCCGTCTGGTCCGACTGACTTTTAGAGAAGTGCGTCGTTATTCCAGGAACAAAGGTCAAGACCACTTATGGCTGTATAGATAGGGAAATGAGGGATTAGAAAGGTCTCCTCCTCGACTCTCTGTTGCAATTTCCGAGCGACTCATTTCCTCGACACGAAATTGTAGTACCCCATAAAGCCGGCATTACATCGCCTTAACGGACGACATCAAGAATATCGGTTCCTACACTTACTTACGGCCATTGCGGCAGCCGTCGCCATTTTTATTTGAACTGCTTTCAAGTTTTATGCCCTTGAGAAAGTGCTGCGACGGCGTCGTCTGCCCGTAATGAAGAATTTAAAAATAAAGCTCGAAGATGGCGAGGTTAGTGATTACATGAGTGGGATGCGAAAGGAATTTTGTTATGATGCAGCAAGGAAATCGCTGTGTTAAAAAAGTTTTAATCTTTTCGGCAACTATTCGTGTCTTTGTGTATCGTCCAATTTAATATTTCTTTTATTTCCTAGAACAGTGAAGGAATAGGTCACTTTCCGCACTCTTTTGAGTGTGAGAAATGCTCTTTTCCCAAAGGTCGTTAGGAATTTTTTTTGACGTTTGTTTTTAATTTCAAATTTGGACACTATTTTTTACTTGTTTGTTTTCTGAAATGTTCTGTATATCGAGAACAAACAGATAAAATGGTTACCTTTGTTATGAGAAGTGATAGGAGCACAAGCAGTGGTAGAACTAAGTACTGCCATTTCTTTAAAGGCTTTACCTTCGACTTTTACCCCCTTCCGAACGAAGGAGAGGAAGAGGTGGCGGCATAGTTCTTCGGGGGTGTGTACCTCGAGGAACGTGTCGAGGAACTTCCTGAAGCCGTCGTAGTCTATGTCCTAGAACAAAAAATAAAAAAAACTAGTGGTAGACCATCAGGATAGTTAGTTAACAACGGTAATAAAATGGTATTTTGTGAAAATCAATTAAAAATAATGAATTATGGATTTTAAAATATTTATTACGCACGTCAATAATAGTTGCCAAGAGTTAGTAACCTTGAAAATAGAACTGTTCATGTAAAGTATTATTATTATTATTACTATTAATGTTTTCAGATTTGTGTTTTTTTGAGGTCAACACATTTTTTAATGCTCTTTCTACATCTGCATTACTAACAAATGGACGATCAAAATACTGAATAAACTGACGATAATTTTGGTATTTTCTGTACATCTGAATAAATTGCTGTTATACGTGAAAGTCGGGAAAGCCAGTTTTGTCTGTTAGTTGGGGCTGAAGTTTATCGCAAATATTTTTGAAATTATTTATAGTAGATATCATTTACTCCTGTCATCGCATAAACTGGTTTCTAACTATGTACTCCACCATAGGATAGATGAGGCACACAGAGAACTAACTCCTTGTAAAAACTACCTTTTGCTTGATTCATGGCGCCTTTGTGGAGTAACATATTTTGTCAAATGACATTTTTGGTGGCAGTATACATATACATTGTATACATTGGCCAAAATAATGTAGGTAAGCAGAGAAAAATGTTGTGCCTCGGTGGGATTCCAACCCCACGCCTCTCGCTCTCCGGGTAAGCATCCTAACCGCTAGACCACGAGGCCACTTATATTTCTCTGCTTACCGACGTGTTATTGTGCCGCCACAATAATAATACAAGAAAACGTATTGCTAAACTCGGTGATCCAGCGTAGTATGTTTGTTAATTTTGGCAACTTAAGACACAAACCAAGTTAGAAATTACTAAAAAAATTGCAGCAAGTAATTCGAACATACTAATTAAACAATTAAAAAAAATTACAACATATTTTTCTTCTGAAATAACAATGAAACGTACTCCCTGCAAAATTAGCATAACAATCAACAGAATTGATATGCCTCTACAATAAAAATACAAATGCAATAGACGCACCCGAGATGGATTACATCACACTTGGTAGTGAGGAGAAATAAATCGCGACTACCTAACACCAAAAATAACTAATTATATTTTTTGGGAAATATTGCCGTGTTTCCCTAAAATTAATCTCTGTATATAATTAGCACGCACATCGGTTCGAACTCATTCCAGCACCCAACACCCCCATCCTCTACAAAACGCACGAACGGAGCCCACAATGCCGGATCTAATCCAGTCAGACCTTGAGAGATTCTCGCACGTTAATCCTTTTCTTACAATAAGTACTTCACTTACGAACAATTCTCACTACTCGCTAATTCCCTGAAATAAATCCGGAGCGGTTTCAGTGAAAAAGCTCAACCTATTTTTAAAGGATTTCGCAAAATCCCCGTTCTAATTGAGAATCTAATTAACGGCATTCTCTCCGAGATAAATTAATAACAAAAGATTGCTATCAGCGGTAAAATTCCGGCAAGCAGACTTCGTCATTGGGATTCCCGCAGCCAGGTCGTGTACTTGATAGGTTGTATTCGCTTATGGCGGAAATTACGAGCTCAAATGTAATATGTGAGCCGAATACCGGGACGATCTCACAATCTCCTCTATATAGCGAATAGAGACGCTGCAGTAAAGACGGAACAATTGTATTCATATTATTTGACAGACGCGACTTTGTTAGGGAAAATATGGGAATTTGAACTTAACGGGAATGCTCGTAGAGGGTTGGTTGCGAGGAGAGTTCTAACTGAAAAAACAACAAAAATAAAAATAATAGAGTTACAGGTCCAGTTTGTGTCACATTTATTCTTTTGCTATTTATTACAGCCCCTGCTGGAAAAGAAAAACGGTACGGGTCAATTCTGGCGTAGCAATCATCAAGCACATTAGGTCCATGCAATCAAGAGAAACACAAACGGTACCAAAAGACTATATTAACAACATAAGGCACACATCACAAAATATTAGTACACGAATGACGGAGTAACATGTGGCGATGGTACTCGTACTGACGTCAGTATCATTGTGTCTACTTGACAAACATAGCGTGTCCTAGATGTAGCCGTGACTCTAGAAATTTTCACGGTTCTGCCGCCCAAGACTCGTAGTCTCAAATGTATCTGGTGTTCCAACACTTCCCCTTGAGTCAAAGGGTGCGCGACTATCCATTAAACGAATGACGCCTTTTGTCGATCGACCTGGGGCTCTGATCAGGATGATATCCTATACGTCGTTTTCTCCGGTGGCGGCGAACCCAGTCGAGCTCTCGTCCTCGAACGCGGACATAGTCGCCAACCCTTACCGCATACAAGTGCACGTTTCCATCGCAGTTCATGATCACGCTGAAAATGGACTTCGAGCTCATGACCCGTTATTTTTTGCACGGACATTAAATTATTTAGTTTTCAAATAGGAAACGTGGGGGATTTCCCTCAATGAAACACTCGCTGTTTCGCTGAATAACCCAAGATAAAAATAAATTCTAAGATAACGTAAAATAATGAGTGTTGGGAATTTCAAGATTGCTTTTTTTACTTTCTAGTTAAGTCAAGAAAGCAGTACTCATAAAACTAGCATATACTTTGCTATTATCGTATAGCTAGACGCTACAATTCCGTTTTCGTTCGACACTAGGAGGTATTATAACTATAATGGTTTATGGCAAGAAGGGCCAAAGTCAGCTTGCTTTACTATAGATTCGCGTTCGCGTAACGTGTGCAACTCTCGAAATGGACACGGAATACTAAACTAAGGAGTTAACTGGAACATCCATAAAGATAATCGCGTTCCAAATTCCTAAGTTCTAACTCAAATGACCGCAATGTAATCATCCCTCAGAGACTTACAGCCAAAATTACATCATAATCGCAGGGCTCTCTGGAATTGTGACAACTTAAGCCGCCTACTCACGACCACAATATCACCAAACACCATTCTACATTTTTCAAACTCTTAAAAAAAACTCCTTTACTTCCGCTCCTGCTGCACTTCTCGAGAAAATTCCTGGCAAATGTACTTGGCGTCTTTCCACCGACACGACCACTCCATCACATTGTCGCAGTCCATATATCATTCTTCGCACATGAATTGTAACTCAATACATTTTTTCATTCCCGCTTCCCACCTAAAGACCGGCTTACACAACTGTCGCTTTTTCGCAACACAAGTACTACTTTATTATGCGAAAAAGTGTGATGAGCTAAAGCGGTCGTGATAAAGTGCATATGCAATAATACTAGTAGTGCTTACGTCTGAACCGGCCCTAACATGGAGGTTAATAGTGCGGCTTATGGAAACGCCATTGTAACGCTGTGCATATTTCATGGGTTTATTTGCAGTCGCTCGGAAAATGGTTCCGGGTTAACATGCAAATTTTCCGCATTGTGAGGGGGTTAGCCCTCCAGCCGTACATTAAACGGGGAAATGGAGCTTTATTAAATATTTAAGAGCGACGTTGACCATTATTAAATCATAATTTCGGCGTGTGTAATGAAGTGAGGATTACGAACAACTGAAAAGTGGCGAAAATTAATTACGCGAATGAGATGAAGGAGATTAAAAAAATTGCATAGGGGACGCCGGCGCGAGGCAGATTGCGGAGATGTTCATAATTCAGGAGACAGGCGTCGGAGGAAAGTTTTACAATCGAATTTTCTTTAAGTGAAGCAAGGGAAATATGCGTATGGGCTTTACATGGGAAAGTCAAGTTTTTCTCCGATTACATTTTACAACAAAAAAAAAACTTTTAGTTCTTCTTATAGTTTATCTAATACTGCAGAGTGTTGAAGTTAAAGAAATAATGTACTCATACAAACGCTACCAGTGTTTTCATTCTATATTAATTCTGTACGTCGATATTAAAGAGCCATCGTGCTAAAGAAAACTCTTGTTTGTAAAAAAAATCGTGTGGAACATGAAAGCTTTTACTACAGCTGTCTATTACTACTAACTTACGAATATTGGATAATCAAACTAAACGTAATATACAGCAGAATATCATTTCCTTTTACAATGACCTTCGATCCCTAAATGTCACTCAAGTTTGGACTAGATTAATAATAAATTTACTTTTATAATGTTTAAATGTGATAAGTACTAATACATTATAATTAAAAAAATCTTCCTAGAAATACGAAGCCAGTAAAAACAAATCAACCCCGAAAATGTGCAATTTGCTGGCCATAGCATGAAAAATAATTTCGGCAACCTCATCATGAAGTACAATGGCGTTACTGTACACAGTTTCCGGCCATTTGTGTTCGATTTTGATTTCGGTCTGGTGGCGGTAACATCGGTCCGTCGTTTTGGTGTAAAATTAGCGCGTTTTCCCGAATTTCTAATTTATTATTAATGAATATTAGTAAAAATACGTTGTATTAGTGCAGTGAACAAGAACGAAAGTGGGTATTTTTTTCAAAAAGAGCAGGAAACGGAATAAGTATGATTTGAATTTTATAAGTAAAAAACCTGGCAAAAAATATGTGGGCTGTTGTTAGTTTGACAAGAATTGTTGATTCATGTTAAGTAAATTTGCATTGTTTGCTTATAATTTAGAGTATTGTGAAGGGACATTAATAGTCACGAAGTGGATTTTACCTTTGTGGAGAAATTGGATTATTATGAAAAAAGAGGTCTTTAATAAAGATGATTCCATGTTTTGAAACGCTGTATATATGTGTCCGTGCTCCTAATTGTATTTATCGAACTTCAAAAGAGAGAGTAGTTTCATTCTTGTCAACACAATTCATTGAAAATAAAATGTTCATATTCCCTGTGTAAAAAAATAAATAAATACACGGTAGAGTAGTTATGCGAAAGAGATCGGCAAACACCTTTTGTCTTTTAAACACAATTTCCCTACACAACTCCTAACACAATAATATTTATTTCAAGTTGCAAAACAAAATTTTCGAGCAAATATGATTTAACATTCCGCTTCAACAATGCTTGTAATTCTGCTCCCATGTAAAC